CCTCCCCAGGATCCAGCCCAGTCCAGCGAAATCACAAGACGACCTTGACCAATATTCCAGTTTTTGTTTTATTGCTTATATTAGCCGTTATAGCTGGTAGGCAATAATGACCGTATATTTTCAAACTTTAATCGGGGTATTATTTATTTCTGTTGCGGCCACTCACGAGACCCATTGGAGATCGGTTCTTCCGGATAGAGTACTCCCTCAAAATTATACAACATACACGAAAATAACAAGAAAGTTGGTAAATTATAACGTTGATGTTGAACTTTTACAGTATTTAAAGGGATTGTAGAAGAGAAGTGGCGGTCTTGAGGGATGTTTATATGCAGTTTGTCGTAGTGAAGATTAAGTTGATTACTATTTATTTTAATGATATATAGTTATAATTTCTGTTTTTAATACGAATAAAACTCGTTAGAATAGTAAATACGAGCATACGCGCCAAATTAAGTATACTATGACCAGAAATATAGTGCGGATTCTGCCTTAAGCGCCTATTTCACTAACTTTTATGACGGCTTAACATTACACCCTTGTATACGTGCCGTAGTCCAGGAGAAATGAACCTCAATGAAAATTTTGTACTAATATAATAACTGCCAAAATTAGTATGTTTACAAGCTTCTAAGTACGTCATTAGGTACTGGGTTTTGGTGGTGATGACAGTGACAAAAAATTTGGCATATTTACAGTATTTAAGTGCGTATTCTTTGAGTTTCGACAATGACTGTATAGTCTCCGAAATACTACAAGGTTATATGGCTGTTGTACAATTAGGGTATTGTTAAGACGACAATGGAGCAGTTGTAAACTGTGTTTGTGTTGGTTTAATGTACCAAAAATGTTTGAGCAGATTACCTAGCAGTAGGTGGCAAGATATTGAGACAAATCCTTGATTTATGACGCTAGGATTAAGCCGGTAACCAGCCCCACAAAAGGAATTTTAAGATCCCGTTCTTAAGTTTCGTGGGGCCCTAGAACCTTGTACAAGTACGGTCCTGTATTACTCAAGACAGTGATCGGGGTAAGTAGACAGGTTTAAAAGGTCGGGGTTTAAGCCGTGATAAAAATTAGTGAAAGTCAATAAATAGACACTCGAGACAGAATCCACACAATATTTCTGGTCGTAGTAAAGAATATTAACAAGTTCATTTTTGTTAATATTCTTTGGTCGTAGTATACGATTCATTGGCAACTCTTTTAATATAAACTGCACAAAATAGTGAAGGATGGTATTAAAGTATGGGGGTTTTAGTATTAATGGACCTCAAGATTTATTACTTTTGACAATTATCTTTAAAGATGTAAATACTGAAGGTTACAACGCAGAAAATGATAAAATATGAGGGTTTCGGTGAACAGATGATTAAATGGCTACCTATTATTTTATTACCTTTAGTGAGGGTTGGTTAGAAAATCCTACTGCATGTTTATGGTTACTACTTAGAAAATCAGAGCCCTAAAAACGGAATTTCGTTGGACAACCTATACACTGGTACCTGGAGTGCCTTAATCCTCGCCTTAAGTTCGGTCTAAACTGATAAGTTTGCATAAATTTTAGCTGTCCCTTTTTAAATTCCAATTCCATGGAAATAGAAACAAACGTGGAACTAAAGTCAGAACACTTGGGATCACCGATATTTTTTTAAATTATTCAAAAATAACGCACACGGGATCCCAAAAATTATAACTCTTTAAAAGCAAAAACCAGGAATAGAAAGTTTTTTTCAAATTCTTGCAAAAATATAGCGCAAGAGGCCTCGAAGATTTTTTTCAAATTCTTTCAAAAGCAAAACACCAGGGATTCTCACGGAAGGTTTTGTCATATTATTAAACAAAATATACCGGACGTCCCCAATTTCTCGCAAAGTCTTTCAAAAATAAAGGACCAGGGCCCTCCAGGTTTTTTCAAAGATACTAAAATTCTTCCAAACTCTTTCAAAAACCAAAAACTAAGGACCTTCAAGATTTTTTAAAATTCCTTAAAAAATAAACCACAAGGGGCTCCAAAGAATCTTTCTAACTCTTTCAAAAACAAGGCATTTGGGATCTCAGATTTTTTTTTCTTTCAAAAATAAAAGATACGCGGCTCCAAATATTTTTTATAACTTTTTCAAAAACAAAGCACCAGAATTCCCCGAAATTTGTTTAAAGTATATTTCATGCTTTAGGGAAAAAAACCAGTAAGATCTCCTAAGATTATTTTATACATTTTCAAAAACAAAACAACAAGCTTCCCCCAGATTTTTAATTGATTTTGCCAATTTTATAATTTCTTTAATAGTAATTCCTATAAGTTAAGGGTGGCGTCTGGTTCGGTTTCGCCCAATACTAAATACATTGAAAACATCGTCGTAGTTTCCGGAATTGCATTTTTAAAATACTGAAATCTCCAACGTCAGAATCTAAGTAAACCTGCATTCTGCTACCGCATCACAGCTCGTTTAATGCCGATTTCTCGTTTCAATAGATTTTGACTTTTCGCGAGTTATTTACCTCAGTCGTGGATTTTTTAATATTATAAATGGTATCAAAAGAAAGCTGACACTTTTCCCCAGGGGACCTCCTATCTCATAATGCAAAAAACTTCAGCACTTCGTCAAAAAATGCATCAATGTGCCGGTTAAAATGTGGTGTAAAAGTTGTTCAACTTTATAATTTTTTTTTTGTAAAAACTGCATACTAGATATGAATATAAATATAGAGGTCCCCTGGACTGAAGTTTGTTAATTCGAAATATAATTTTTTTAAAGCGATATATCTCATATTTTTAAAATGCAACTCCGGAAACCGCGACGATGTTTTCAATGTATTTAGTATAGGGCTAAACCGAACCAGACGCCAGCCTTAAAACACAAATAGGTGTGGACTGTTAAGCTACAGGTAAAGGAGCATGTCATGAGTATCTTTCAAGTGAGTTTTTATTACTGAAATCTTGAGATGACGTCCTCAACTTTTAGTAGGGTCAAATATATACAGTATAACACTAATAATAACAGCATTGCATTTCAAGAAATTGAGGAATATACGGTAAAATGTCTTTGATTTAACGAACGAAATACATTGCTTCATTGATTAATTTTCTGAAACACCCTGCAGTAGCAAAATTTTTAGATAACGTCATCAAATTTTTGGAGACGGTAGACAAAAATTTTGATTCGCCATTTACATGTTTACGATGACCTTAAAATATTTGCAATTTCTATTGAATTGTAAAATGTTGTTTTACAGTTTTTGTATTTTTTCCAAAAATCTAACCGTAGAATGTACAAAATAAGGGCAGATTAATAAACCACACGTCCAGAAACATGTTATTTTATAAAATTATTATTATGGCTTTTTTTCAAATTAAATCAAACACTTGTTCTTCAGATCATAATACTCAAATCATACTCCGAAAAATATCAAAAACTCTACCAACACTTTAAATCAAACTAGTAACTAGCAATTTGATTCCTGCTTTTAAAATTGTTTTCGTAATTATTCCACGTTTCTACAACCTTATTAATAGCATACGAAAAAATTAATGTTTGTTTGATTCGATGAACTACTTGTGAATTCGTGAATCCTGGATTTGCCTTGAGCCTGAATCTCCCTCTCGAATTTCCTTTTGCGTGCTCTCTGACTGCATAGAATTATTCCGTTTTATTCGTCCTGCAATTGACCTACTTTGTGGTGAATTGCATCTGTTTAGTCGTTCGAGGTTTGTAATTCATTTCACTCTCTTTTACCGTTGCGTATCTTCTCGTTTAAAACTATTCGGTAATAATCTTTGCGTTGATTTTAATAGGGCATTTTCTATTTACCAACACACAAATAAATCAATTAAGTTGTTGACGTTGAAATGGCATGTCGTTCAATGCGATAGAAGTTATGTAATACAATGAGGGACTTCTATTAGACTCAGGTGCTTATAAGTTGGTCAAAACTGGAATACTGAAGGCCGTTTCAGAACGAGAATAACTAAATATGCAACTGAGTTCGTAATTTGAATAAACTGTCGTAATTTGAACAAGTTACGTGATAAATCTCACGCATATTTCACGACAAAGCTCATATTACAAAGCCATTAAATCATTTTATAAAACGAAACAAAACAAAACAATTGTATTAAGTGAACAAAACGAGTTTTTTAATGTTTTTAGATTTAGTTATAACATTAGAACAAATTAAGGCGAACATATTATGCCACAACAGCAGTAGTAAAAGGTTAACAATGATTTAAAAATCTTTAATTTTTTCACTTAAGTACGCTACATATTCTATGAAATGAATAATATACAGGATGGGCCAATGCGATTAAATCGTCTATATCCGTTGCTACGGCGACTATCTGAACGTCATTAATATTTTTTTAAATTGGAATCATATTATTTTCGATTCCTAATTTTGCAACAGTTTAGCGATTATCAAAATTCAGATACGTTGGAATTCGGTAGAGAAAAGCAGTTTTCCGAAAATCATGATTTTTGAATGATTACCTAACAAATTTTCTTCCAACTATATAGGCACTAAATATTCACTTCTTAATAAAATTAATTTTTATATGTTGGTAAACATCTACAATTGATAAAAATGTGTCAAAGATGATATATAAGTAAATGTTCCTCTATATCCTTGTGACTAAGTCACAGTATTTGTATACCATAGCCTACACGTAATAAAACGCGTACGTATTATCAGCAAGTGTTAACTTCATAGATAACGACACCGAAAAACTAAAACGCCCCTGTAAAAGAAAATGTTTTAACATTGTCCTACTGCTATTGATTTTCCGAGGCTTGCGCAACTTTTCCGTCATATATAACGCACAGACTTCGTCAAAATTATTATAGTACGAAACGTGACTGTACTAAATTTAACACGAAAACTACGATATTAATAGATAAATGTAGTGCACGAGGTTATTTACATATCATTGTCAAATTCTCAAGATTCGCAAACTTGAGAAAAAAAAATAAATACAACTATCAGCAAACAAAAATTTGTCTCACCTAGACAAGTTGTGGTTGTCCTTATATTGTTTCGCAGAACTCTTTAATTTGCTGTCTTATTTTTTATTTCTTTTTAATATGGAAAAAATAATATCGAACAGAAGTTCTACTAAACTCTGTAAAAAAAATTACAGGGTGCAATAGAGTTCTAGATTTTGTTTTTGGTTCTTTGAAAAAACAGCACAGGGAAACCACGGAGCACTACTGTGTCGCCTTAGCATCCAACACCAAGTGAAGGAAAACAGAAACGTGAACGTCGACGTATCGCATTGGCATCTAAACTTGCCGGTTGATGTTGGCGCATGCTTGTATGAATTCGATAATTTTTGAGATATAGATTGCCGATAGAATATGCTCTTTATGTTACCGGGCTGTAAAGGCCACTTTCGCTACAACGTAACCACGATTGACTAAATGCAGTGTACTGAATCAGTACGCGTAAAGAAAGAATAATAATAAAAGCGACGTTCCTCGCTGAATTATTAAAAAATACCCTGGAAATGATATTAGCAATTTATATGTTGTGCCGATGGTATTTCTCGTTTTGGCCCATTGTTGTGCGCTTGAAAAAGTTAGAAGGATCGACATAGAGGACAAATATTTGTGCAGTGCATAATATACAGTATGTACTACACCTGAAATGAACGATCACATTATTGCCAGTGGGAAAAATCTGTGCAGTAAATTATTACGCGTCATCGGCATTTTTTTTTAGACATCAAAACTAACAATAGAATATTAAAATGCATTTAAAACAACAATTGTTTGGAATGTACACTTGACGTAATTGAAGTGTATTAAACATTTCATATAAAATCTGACGATTAACCAAAAATCTGAGAATTTGGTTGATTTTGGTCACATGATCTACCAACTGCGTAGTTAAGTTCGTCATAAAACGTGTCAAATTCTTATACAATTTTTGAGGGAAGTGAAGAATAAAATACAAAACATAGTTGTACCTGTAAAAGTTATTTTTTCATTCTTGAGATGACGTCATTAATTTTTCTAAGAGATGCATCTGTACGTTTTAATTTAGTCCGTTATTGTGTATTGCCTGAAATAAACATAAAAATATTTAATTTTTGTAAGTCTCTCACTCATACATATGAAATTAAAAGTAGGAATAGATGGATATAAAGTATAGATAAACATTTTAGCAGCATTTTGACATGACGTTATGTACTATGTCCTTATTTACATATATGTATATTATGATTAGGTATACGGACAGATAAGTGCGATCCGGAAATCTGCATTTTCGTATTTTATGTTTTGTGAAACACTAAAAGATGAGTATATTAAGTGTTGTTTTACAGTACGGAATAAAAAAATCTTATAAAATATTTATTTACGTCGTTATAACAAGAAAAAAAAAATCCTGGCTGATAGAATATTATTACATCTAGTTAATGTGGAATAGATTGACTGTAATGTAACACTTTAAAAATCAAATTTACATTAAAAATCGTCGCTTTCAATGTTTTGTTGTGCAGATTTAGTATTGTAAAGCTTGAATTATTTTAAAGCATTATTGTCATTATTATACCATCATTAACAAAATTTAACAATAATAAGTAAATGATTAGTTTCCTCCGTTAGAAGTCACGACATGCCACTGACGTGGAGCCTGAAGTGGAAAAAATAGAAATTATAAATGAGACATCTAAATTAACCACATGAGTTAAATAAACGATCCTAATTGGTTTGTCTAACCAATCTGTATCTGCATCAACTGTATCGAATTTGCCTATTAATAATTGGGAAGTGAACACTGGCAAAAACCAAATTTAATGACAAGTTCTGAATAAAATAAAGACAATTATCATTCTAGGTATGCCGAAATTATATGGTTCTTTGACACGTCAAAAGTGTTTTTCTTTTCTTATGTAGTATAGAGGTTCCAAGGTTACTTTATTTAATTTGATGTTTGTCATCTGATAATTTTTTTATGTAATATATACAACTAAGAAATAAGTAAATTAAATTACGTTTAGTTATGTATCAGTTCTAACTTTGTCAGTCACATTTTTATTACCATTTTTGATATAATTTTTATCTAAAATGTCAAAAATTTGACCCTAACTTAAAAAATAAAACCCAAAACACACAAGAGTCGTCACTCAGTTTTTGTTACAGTATGATTGCAAATCAGTAACAAAACAGTATCACGTGACAAGTTGGCATTAAAAAGTAGATACGATATTTCCTTGAAAATAACAGGCACATTCCGTTTCTTTTAAAAATAGTCCACAGGCATTTAAAAATAGCAACTACTGTTAATTAATCCTTTGTACGGCAAAAAAAAATGATTTAGCTGTTAACAATTATTGGTGAATGAAAAAAGAAATGTGGATAACACCGCATAGTGCGTGTGTGTTTTAATTGAACAAACGGTATTATTTAAAAGCATATATGTATTATACATGGAGGTAATACATATATATTATGTCTACTTAATTTTCGTCCATTAGCAGACCTACACCCACTACACCGACGTAGCCAGCGTCATCTAGACAGCAATTTTTAAAATTCATGTTTGCAAAACTCTATATTGAGCATTGCTTTTGTGCTCCTCGGATTTGAAAAATTAAATTTCGCGCGAAAACAAAGCCGCATTTGAAAAATAAAAAATATATTCCAGTGAGGTAGGCAATCAGTTAATCACCTACGTTTTAGTGGGTTTGGGGGAATAGCGAAAAAATCACCCTTGGGTTGGTTTTAGGGAGTTTTGTAAGATAGTAAATGGAGAGTGCAAGGTGAATTTTAAAAGAGCACTCACTTCCTCTCATATATATAAATATATGCTTGAAATTGGTAGATTTGTCACTCCACCTTACTTCTGTCAGAATTGATTAATTCTTGTGATTTTATAGTCAACTCAAACTCAAACCAGTGACTATTTAAATACATACACTTTTTAGTTACTGATCTTTTATTCACAAGGCCATAAGAAATCGACTACATTCCCAAAAATCTAAGAAGCTAGTCTAATGTTATATTTTGCGGTAAGACCTGAAGTAAAAAATTGTGAATTTATACAAAAAAAAAAGTTTAATTGTGTTTTTATTTTTAAGAGAACAATATAGGTATTTTCACACAATTTATAGTTTATTGTACTAACATAACGTATTGTTTAATGGGTAAACACAAACTAACACCAATTATTAGTGATTTAAAAACCACGCTTTTTTATACTAATTATACTGCATATAAAATAAAGCAGTTATTTAAAATTCGGGATTGATGTAGATAATTGCTCTATTTACTTCATTTGAACCATTGCTCTGAATATGTAAACACTCGTGAAAATTGATATATTATAGTTTTGTAGTTTCATAATAAATCGTCTACAACGCCACTGTCCTCCTCAACGTGTGTAATTAGAGTAAACTAGTTAATTAACGTTTTAATCTGAAATCTTACGAAACTTTGACGATTTCATCAACACGTGTTATTTTTGTTTTATTGTTTGTAATTGCACAGTTCTTATTAAGTTTTTTAACTGTTCATGGTTCGATTACAACTTACAACTTAACTACAATAATAGAAATGTTGTCGTAAAACACGTGCCAGGAAATTCGGTTATTCAGGCTCAACTTATTTTGGTAACAATGTGTCTAATCTTCAGGGTGTTTTTACTTAAGTCATCATATTGTTTAAAATGATTGGTAGCGTAGAAATTTCCATTTTTACTGAAATCAAAGTACAGGACTGCATTGCGGAAGAGCGGAACATGGCATGTCATTTGGCCAAATAGATGTTAAGTTGTTAGCTATTCATGGGTAGATCCGCATCTGCGTCCATGTGAAACGCGCAGTTTGGTAGTAGCTGGCGGTTTTACCAAGACAGGGCAGAGTGTATAGTATGCGGCAAGTCTTTGGATGATATGCTACGACAGCCTCTGTTGCACATTTGTTGGTTTCTCAACGCTCTCAAGTGTTCATATTTGAACTTACCGCATCGTCGTAATAATTTGAGGGCCTGTTACCATCCAGTCGCGCTTAATGACGATTTTTCTGTTATCGTTGTGCGTTTCAATTTGTAATTTTCAAATATTTGTATCGATCTGTAATACTTATTTGATTTCATTTTTGAAAGGTAGAGAGGTTTTGCAGCTGGGAATTATGTTCCGTCTAGCTTAATTCAGTAGTTCTTCCCTTTCCAGAATAGTTAATTTTTGCGGCGTTCTAATCGGAAACTACGCTAACACGTGTAAATTTGATTCATTGTTTGTAAATTCACAGTTCATGTTAGGATTTTAATCGTTAACTGGTGCTAACACAATTTAACAGATATAAGATTGTTCAGATAAAGCACTTGCTAGGAACGCAAATCTTTTAATCTTTAATCAAAAAGAATGTTCCTAAATACTTAGAAAGGGGCTACAAAATAATGTAAACTTAGAAGCCTGTCTTTAATTGCCTCTTACTTGGTGTTGTGATTTACAGATTAAATTTAGAAAACCTCAAAGGGTGGACACTCTCATAAAATTTTATTGTCAGATTATGAGGGGTTTAAAAGGACGGGCTCTATGAGTTACCTGTTATAGATAGGAGTGAACCAAAAAAATGGCAAAAGTTTGTTTGACCACAAATTTTAAATATTCTCTCCCCCTTTACTCAATTATTTATTAAGATGTTTTATTTCTGTAAAGCGCAATGGATTATTGTTTAATACAATTTCTACTAATGTATCTTATTGAAAATTTAAAACTGATCCATAAATAGCGTACACCAGATAATTTCATACTCATCACAATTTTAACGCGTTGTAGTTTTTTTGACAACAAAATTTAAGAAACGGAAAACAGTCTGGGTAGGGTTTTTTACGCTCATTTCAACGGTGTGCATTTCATTACAATCGGACGTATACTTACTTTTGGCAAAAAATTTGGCATAAGTTTATATGTATTTTCCTGTGCTGGAATATGCTTTAGCTCACCCTTAAAATGATGAAGAGCTTATGTATATTATGGTTAGCTGGTTTCTTAATAAATTCTGTGCTAAACTCGTTTTAGATTTTAACTCCCAAACCAAAAAACAACAATACAAAACAATATTTTTGAGTATTTGGGTTAAAAGTAATTCCAAAAAGTAATTGTATAAGTGACTGAATTACTCAAAAAAGTAATTCGGTACAATTACTCGTTACATTTTTTTAAAAGTAATGCATCATAATTACTCATTACTTGAAAAGGAATTTAATTACAGTATTTACAGTAATGAATTATACTTGTAATTAAATTATATACATACTTCCAACCACAGCATTCAAAACAGATGAAATACATATGCAACCAACCTTACCTTTAATATATTCATTCGTTACTATGCGGTGCTATCTACAAAATCGTAAAAAATCTAAACGTATCTGTTTAACAATATATTATGTGCAATTTGAAAAATTGCAAAAAATTTGAAATTCCTATTTAATATCTTGAAAAACTCAGTTCGTAAATTAATGCAAAGAAGGTTCACCGCATTTCTCACGTATCAGAACCCGTTTTTCAAATAATGAACAGTACATTGCAAATACTGACTGATTCATACATCGTTAATATGCTACAAAAGTACATATTATACATAAACAGCATCTAGATTATTTAACATTCTTTGTATGTTTCGTTGGAAATATTTTGTTTGGTGTTCAAAGGTTTTTTGCTTAGTCACCTGTTTTGATAGATATAATAATTATAGTATTAGCTATTAGCATATGCGCTGATGTTTTCATGTAGGGGTCTTTTAAACGAAAAAGTAAAAAAAAACCTATCTATATGTATTACTTATATTGTACTTGGAGTTTCATTCAACTTACGCTGAAGAAGGAGGTCAGTCCAAATTAGGGTCAACTTTCACTGGACACACTTGAAGAAGAATTCATAAGAAAGTGGTAGTTGAGTGCAGCTTTGTGATAGTTAGGTACTTTATTCCAGCACAAGCTGAATTCTTTAAAAAACAAAAAAAATGTCTTTTTCAAAATTGAGTTCAGTTATAGTGCGGCGAAAGTGTCTTCCTGCCATTACAGTTGCAGGGGTGAATTTTGGAAACAGAAAAACATTTGGAACAAGTAATACACTATGTACAAAATTGGCCCAAGAGAAAAAACCAGACTGGAATAGAGCTGTCAGTGAAGCAGAAAAAATTGTTGGATATCCAACTTCATTTTTGAGTTTGAGGTGGTTGTTGAGTGATGAAATTGCAAATGTGGCACTACATTTGAGAAAATTAGTGGGATCGAATCATCCTCTGCTTAAAACGGCAAAGTAAGTACTTTTGTTTGAATTATTTTTTGTTTAATATTTAATTAATGGATATAGATCAGAAACAGATTTCATCATCTTAATTAATTTAAATCTCCAAGCAAATACAAGACAATTTCTTGTCCTAGATATAATAATATTTTTATGTTTTTTTTTTGTCATATAAAATGTTGTATATAAATCGTTTTGTGCTACGGATGAGGTGATAAAATTAAGTTAAGTAACGAACAATGCAATATAAATAAATAATGTATTTTATACGCTTGTACTGCTTGTAGTTTTTGAAAAAATGTTATTATATCCATTGGCTAAAAAAGGTGGATTTATTTTATAAAGTTGCTTCACCAAACATAAATCATGTAACAAAGAATATTTGCGTCATTGTCGCAGTTTATTTTCATAAAATGATGTGAAAATTAACTATTGTATTAATTAAAGTTTCATTGTCAGTTGCAAAATTACTTAGTAAAAATGGTTTTTGAACATGTACTTTGTGGCAACACAAATGTAATAACTAGAGCTGTGCGGTTGAAATTTAAACGCTGCGAATTAACCCCCACTCCGGCAGGCCAGAGGCTTGCAAGCGACGTTATGTATCGCGAAGGAAATTACGCGAAAAATAATGTTAACGGCATGTCAGTTGATGATTTTAAAATCCATATTCACGAAATAAGAATAATCATAATTTTAATAATGTTCAGGTGTCCGTCTCGCTGACAATAAAACTATTTGTGTGAATTATCATATTATCAAAAATAATCCACAACTGAAAAGCGAGAAGCGAGCAAGGCAAGGCTGTGTAGCGATCGGCACTGTGGGCCGATAGTGGGGGTAAATAAATTTCAACCGCACAGCTCTAGTAATAACAAATAATATTACATATTTTAAAATGATCACAGTTGCTAAAAGCACTTTTTTTAGGAATTTGGGGCTTTTGTTTGTTTCAAATTCTCTTGTACAAGTTTGCTCTGAAATTTCGTGAATTTTGCTGCTTCGTTGTGATGATTGAAGATGATGTTCCCTATAAATTAACCTTGATGGGTGACTGACTATTCGTCACCTGTCACAAATAACAATTACTCCTATTTAATTAAAAAAACTTTTCAATGTTCTGCTGCATGTCAGGCAACCAATAATTCAGATTGAATTATATCAAGTATTGCTACCGATCTCAATGAAACGGCCAAACGGCATATTCTCTTAAAAATGAAGTGACAGATTTTGGAAAACTAGCTTAATGTATGATCTGATATTCCCACACATGCTTTGTCTAAAGCTGTGCTGCAGTAAAGTACTATATACTATAACATTATTTGTTATTAATATTATTGCCCTTAGTATTGTTTCTTAAACAACCAAACTCATCTTTTTGTATTAAAACATTTTTGATTTGTCCAAAAGTTAAATAAACTTGATTACTCCTTTTTGCAGGAGTTTGTTGTACAATGGAAAAAACAACATGCAAGCTTGGGGCCTCATTGTGTTACTTATTTCAAAAGCGGCAGGACATTCTGCGGACATACCTGAGCTTGAGCAGGACAAAGCTGCAGGAGTTTTACACAGCCAAAGAGCCTTAGCTGAAGTAACGGAAATGATTCGAACTAGTCATTTGGTCCATAAAGGTCTTGTTAATCTCCAAGCCCCCCTAGCAGATGCCTCTGGAGATATGATGTTCGGAAACAAAATAGCTTTACTAAGTGGCGACTACTTACTAAGCAACAGTTGCGCGGAACTGGCTAACTTAAGAAATCAAGAACTGGTAGAATTGATGAGTTCGGCTGTACGAGATTTAGCAGAAGCGGAGTTTGTTGGTCCTAGAGACAAACAAAATAATCCACTTCCAGCAAGACCACGATCTGATATAGTTGAGTATAAGCAGTTTACTGATAAAACTCTCGAGCCTTTGGTCGTTAGTGAAGCTTTAGGGAATGCGAGGGCGGAGTGGACTTTGAGACATGTTTTGAATGCAGGTATGGTCAATAGTGTGAGTATCATTCATAACTTGATTGTATTTTTAATTATCTAGGGAGTTTACTTGGTAAATCCTGCCAAGGCACTTTAAAACTAGCCGGACATCCACTGGAGTTACAAGAACAGGGCTACTTATTTGGAAAGCATTTAGCCCTTGCGTGGCAAGCCTGCTTAGATCGTGAACCATTTCTTCCCAATGTCTCGGGATCATTTAGTTTAGTAAGTGCTCCTGTAATGTTTACCTTACAGCATGATCCTACGTTATATGAAGAAATTGAAAAGGGTCAAGAAAGTGTAGATGATGTGGATTATGAAGTTGTTAGAAAAGCAGTTTTAACTGGACCTGGGTTAGAATTTACTAAAAAATTGCAAAAGGAGCACTCTACTGCTGCTCTGGAGGTTCTGAATCAGTTGCCTGCTTCAGATGCTCGTACAGCGTTAGCTAATATTATTGCTGCTATGCAAGATTTGTAGAACTCAAAGTTTTTATTAAATTTTACAGAATTTTTTTTTTTATATTAGTAGGTTAAGCATTAATTTGTTGTTAAAGTTAATAGTGGAGTAGTTGTAAACTTGTAATACCTATGTTTGTAAAAAGTAAATAATTTAGGGCAACATTTCTTGCATTTGAACAAGTAGATTTTGCTTTAAAACCTTCTTGTAATTTTAACTTCAATAATAATCAGTCTGTGATACCAACTGTAAGGTACGTTAGGTATAAGATTTTATTCAGATTTGAAATGGTATATAATAAAAATACTCTGATTAGTATATGTGTATCAATCTTTAAATGTACATTTTTTACATTCTGGTTTCTAATTTGATTGTTGAAGCAAATTTTTGGATCGTCAATTTTGATTTATTGGCAACAATATTAGAGTGTCAGTTCAGTTGTCATTTTTGACATGAGTGTGTCTAAAAACAAATGAGAAAAGCAGCTACCGAATTGGTGCCCAAAATTTCAAGTTTACACAGGTATGTCATCACAAAAATTTTAAATCTGTTGCCAACATGACGAAAAAAATCACAAACATTAATAGTCACTCGGTATTGTTAATTTTATATGTTATGTGTACACATTCTTGCCAATAGTTTTATAGTCACCTAATTTATTTTTTGAGAAGTTATAATAATAATAATAATATAATAATTTTGAAGTGTTTTGTGTCTCATTGTTTGTAGAACATCTTACAAAACTACTGAACCAATTTTGGTGTGTTTTGGGATTCGAAAAAAAAGGTAAAATTTGTTTTTTAAGATTTTGAAAAAACTGTTTTTTTTAAATACCGGGTGATTATTAATGATTTTGATTTGTTGATCAGGTTGGCAACATATTTAAAATTTTATTTGGCGCACCGAGTTTTCTTCTCATCACGTTTGTATGGAGATTTATCTATTATCTATTTCGGGACCACAGGAACATCCTTTAATTGGCGTTTTGTGCATACTGGGACATCTTTTTAAGTCTGAAAATTTCCCTTATCCCTTATATATTTTAGTCCCTATGTCCAGTTTAAGAAAACACAGATCATTGCATTGGAAGTACGCAACCAATGTGACATAAGTACTACATACTTGATTTTATACAACAACACATTTCAGAGTAGTTGGTCTGGTTGTTCATTCTTAATGAAGATATTGTGTTATGTTTTGAACAGCATCAGAATTTAACTTCCTTTTTCAATTAAAGAATAATTTGTTCTATTCGTTTAACACTCGACATACAAAGACGTACTCCAAAGCAACTACATTATAGCATTATTATAGTTATTTAAATCTTTTTCAAATTGATGCAATTAAGTCGCAAAAATGTAAAGTTTATCGTTACCTTCAATATATTTACTCATAAATATAGACGGTAAACGGGTTATTTAAAATAAAACAAAAAAAAAAACAAAACAAATTTTTAAGTGAAACATGCCACATATTATTACATCTTTATTGTTGTAAACCAAAGTCCGTTGCATTTATCTGGTTTATTTTCGTAAGATTTATTTTTACTTTTTTAAGATAGGTAACCTTGCATGTAAATTAAAACATATTTATAAGTCCAAAGTTATGCACAAGGTTATTAAAATAACCTTTTATATTATTATAATTTTTTTACCTTGTTTAGGTTTCATATGGTGAGATCTGACACATTTCTGAGAAGATTTGACCAACTGTAGATCATCAGTTACAGGTAACTCTGAATCAAAATATTTACGCGGTAATTGTGCGTAATTACATCATAAGTCATAAAACCCAAACATAACCTAATCACTAATCACCTTCCTCTTCGTTCATAAATCTACTCTGTGTAATGATGAAAACTTTTAAAATTGAAGGTAATTTTAGGCGGCAGCTAAAGAGTTAACTTAGTTTTGACTTCTATCGAAATGAATTGTATCAACAAATTTATGAAGACATGCCTTGTGCGGCCCTGTGGAAGAACAATTTCAACTACAAGTGGTTTAAATATATACTTTTCAAAAACAGAAGAAAAGGCTAGAAGCAACGCTGTCGTTAAAGAAGCAGAAAGAGCTGTTGGGTATCCAACATCTTTTTTAAGTCTTCGTTGGATTTTGAATGACGAAATAGCAAATATAGCTTCTCATATACGAAAGTTGTTAGGAACCAACCATCCTTTATTAAAAACAGCCAAGTGATGAATTGTTACAATTTATTACAATGCAGAGGTAACTAACATATTTTTGTAGGAGTTTGCTGCTGCGAAATGAACAGGCCACATGGGGACTGATTGTTCTTCTGGTATCAAAAGTAGCTGGATTAAATTCAAGTTTTTCAGAGCTAGAATGTGACAGGACTGCTGGTAATTTTTTGTTGTTTTTTTTTATCCTTCTTGTAATGATTTAATAATTTTAGATATACTTCATAGTCAAAGGATTTTGGCTGAAGTGACAGAAATGATTAAGACTAGTCATTTAATACATAAAGGTCTTGTAAATATTACCGCGTCCACTGAAAACCCATCTGACATGAACTTTGGCAACACATTAGCTTTATTGTGTGGTGATTACCTACTTAGTACAAGTTTTATAGAAATAGCTCGTTTAAAAAATTTTTACGTGCAAGAAACTATGTCATCGACATTGAGAGATTTATCAGAATCTGAATTTATTGGTCTGAGAGGTAACCAGAATCAACCATTGCCTTCAAAACCCCTTGCCATTCAAAAACAAGTTGATATACCACTAAAATTTGGAGTGGAACCCTTTGAGTTAGAAAATGTTTTGGGAAATATGAAAGCTGAGTGGATTTTAAGAAATGTTTTAGGAGGAGGGAGTTTATTAGGAAAAGGATGTCAGAGTAGTTTAATTTTAGCCAATCATGAATCTCATGTACAAGAATTGGGGTATACTTTAGGGAGAAGTTTAGCTCTAGCATGGCAAGCTTCTTTAGAGAGAGACTTAATTAAAGAAGAAACATTCAGTCTAGTTTCAGCACCAGTAATGTTTCATTTGGAGTATGAACCATCATTTTATACTGAAATTGAAAAAGGGGTATATGATTATGCTAGCATTGATTATGATTTAATACGGAAAGTTGTGTCTGGTGGTCCTGGTTTAGATAAAACTCTTGAATTGCAGGATGAATTCTCAGCAATTGCTTTAGATGTGTTAGACAAGTTTGCAGATAGTGAATCTAAAGTAGCTCTTACAAACATAATCAAGTCACTGTGATTTAGACTAAGATATATTTAAAAAATAAACGCATGAAATGACTACACATTTTTCACTTTATAAAACAAATTTATTACATGTCTACAAAGTAACTTCACCCCCATCTTCAACCACACCTTCCATTTCTTCTCCGCTCTCTGACATTTGTTCATCAACAGTTTCTTTTTCCTTCTCTTTCCTGTCTTTAAGTCCAGCAGCTGGTGATTTGATGAGCGATAAGTCTCTTTGCACTTCTTTAACATCTCTTTGTTCTTCAAGTTCTCTCCCTTTTCGTAACCTTTGCATGATATAATTCGCCTGCCTCTTCTGTTTAATAGTTTCGACTTTCTTCATGGCTTCAACGGCCTTATTCCACGTCTCTCTGCTGTATTTGATCGGGAGATGTCTCCTCTTTTCGAATTCAAATGACGGATCAATGGCTAATTCTTTGCCAACGGTCTTTCTGTATGCTTTAGTCCATTTCACTTTGCGTGGATTCTTCTTCTTTTTGAAGGCTGCGTGGCATTTTGAGCGACAAAATTTGAAAATCTGACAAGAACATAACCTCAAAAACAAAATTATTTCACGTATTTCGCCATACCTTGCAATCGTTCCGTACAAATTGGATACCGTGACCTGGGAATATTCTTGAAGAACAAAAGTAGCACGTTTCAATACGCATTGTGCGGGTTTTTGTTTATTATGTTCTGTTTTAATAATTTTCTTGTCAACACGTGCTGTTAGATATCATTTTTGTATAAAAAGAAGGGGAGGTGGGGATGACAGATGACAGATTGGACCTGCTTTCTCAGGACTTTAGGAGGTGTCGCCATCTATTTTATGCGATAAACATGCAAATATATTAACAGGTGTGGCGTACTGGTGTATTTTCTGTAGATGTTGCCATAAAATTCTTAAATTTAGCTATACCCATAATTTTTATACATGTTATCAGTATGTCACTGTCTCGTATGATAAAAAAAACATGATCTAGTCAGCCATGGACTTGACTTTTTTTTAACTGGTGGCAGCACTGGTGTTTTCCATTGAAGTTATGTACATGGCAGTTTGACACTTGTATTGTTAGTGAAATAAAAAAAAAAATGTTTGAAACTGAAGATAAGAACATACAATTTTTATTCTCCAAAGTTATTATACCGAAGTGGAATCAAATGAGAAAATGAAATGGTCTTATTCTTTAATGCGATGCGTAAAAGAATTGCGCGACAATTTCCCATTACCTGAAAAACGAACAACTGTGATGTGATAGTGCAAATTTTGCCAACAATTTTTTTTTATTAAATTAGATTAGTGGCTAACTACAGTAGCGGTCATTTCTACGGAACCACTCAATAAAAAGTCAAGTTGGTAGCCCTGTCACCTAGTACTTTACGCCGAACGCGGTTGGTAGCGGTAGTTGACATGGCAATCGAAACTAGCACAACACGAATGTTTCGGTTGCCCTCAGCTATGCCGCACTGTATCCCGTGCAGACTGTATGTTCTGTTCATCTATTTATTAAAATAAAATATTTACATTGACAATGGGACCATCTAACCTGTCAAATTTTTGACACATATATTTTCCCCCAGAAACCCGTCAGGGTCACTTACACCAAACAAATTTTGAAAATTTACACTAGGGAGTGGTTCTATAGAAAAGATCGCGACTTTAGATGACATTTATTTCGATCATTGGGTATATATTATGCAGGTATATACATATATAGTTTTCCACATACTAGTTCCTTTTTATGGCCAGCAAACTGAATTACTGCAAGCATTAGGAGCTCTGTTAAAGTGTAAATAACCGTACCATAAATCATCTTAAGGTTTTCAAAAGCTTGAAATACATGGGCGAAAGTATAGGCATTGTTTATAGGTCTATGAGTGTACACAAAACTCGATCAGTTTTGAAGTTCCCGTTGCAGTTGCTGTTCCCGCTGACGTTGCTTTTAGAGCTGAAAATAGGTGTTCTGTGCTGAAAATTGTCATTTATAAACTCCGTTGCCAAGTTCCCGTTGATAGTAACTTAGATGTTCAACTTTTGCCGTATTTAAAGGGGTTGTAGAAGAAAAGTAGTGTATTTAAGTTAATTATTACAAAAATTTACAATTTTAGACATATTTTAAGTTTCTTGTTGTCGAAATAAGTCTACACATATTAAGAACAAAAGGCAAAATGTAGCCCTGCCCATGGTACAAGAAGACATGGTATAGGCATCCGGTGTACCAATTTAGAAATCGTCTGCGCATCTATTTGTGACGTGGGTTGGCATCAACGACCTTGTGAGCTTCGCTAGGGAAGGCCATGATACAAGAAAACATGGTATGCTATCGCGCAATTTGTCTGACGTCAACTGGAATTAAGCTAACGCGCGAAAGTTCAAATCATATTGGATCAGGCAAATTACGGATATTTTTTGCATTGTAACGAGATAATTGAAATGTAGTGAAAATTTTACCCGCCATTAAATATACAAACTCTGTGTCGTTTCTTCAATAATATATCGATGAGCTGTGATGTGATAGATAAATTTTCAAACATTGTTGATTGCATAATATCTGCTGATGTGATATTTGAATATTGGTGAAAATTGTTATTCAATATATTATCTTTATATCTGATTTAACTATCTTTCCCTGTAAATTGTTTTTTTTCTGTTGAGAAAGATATTAATAATAATAATAATAATACCAAACCCTTGACGCTTACTTGCGATCCACTTCACCCACATCTTCATTATATTCCGTATTCTCCATTCATTAGCAGTTGTAATCTACTGCCGTACCTACAGGCTAAGATTCTCTTTTTACGAAAATGACTTCTTGTGCAGTGTTTGGGTGCTCCAATAGCCGTTATAAGTGTAAAGATATTAAGTTTTATCGTTTTCCAAAAAATAAAGACATTTGTGACGAATGGGTAAAGTTTTGCCTGAGAGGAAATATTAATGTTAAAAATGGTAAGTAATTATGTATCACTGTCCCCGACCATTTGAAAATTCGATGAAAATAGAGCGCCAGTTTATCAAAATTCTGAATAAATGTACCCGCTTGACAATAAAAGATTTGTTTTTTCGCAACAAGGTAACATTTTTGTACAAAATAAATAGTTTATCTAACTGTAAGCAAAATAGAATTGTCTTTTTTTCTCACTTCGCGAATAAATAAAGGCATATTAACCAGAACAAAATGTTTAGAATTTTTTATTTCAGCTCGAATATGCTCAGAACACTTTTCTTCAGAAGCTTCATACAAATCACTTCAACAGCAGTTGTTACAATATAGCCCTAAAAGTAGAAGAAGATTAATGCCTAACGCTATACCAACGGAGAACAAACCTGTGCAACACACCCCGATGTCTCCTAGCAATAAAGGTTCAACCCAAGTCGTACAGCCCACAGTTTCACCCATTTCTGGTCTTCATTGTTCAGACGCAGAAACTACAACAAAAACCCTCAGTGAGACTTGCAGAAAAGAACTATTTCCTGTTACCGATGCTTCTTTGGAATGCAACTGGCAAAGCAAATATAACGACTTGCAAGAACAAATGAAAAAATTAACAGAAAAAAACAAGGCACTGCAACTTGAAACTGAACTGCTACAACAAAATTTGTCAACCATTTTTACGAAAGGGCAAATAACGCGATTAAAAACAAAACGAAACGTTAAATGGAGCGCCCAGGATATTTCCTCTGCCATCTCGCTTCGTAGTGTCAGCCCTAAAGCTTATAGATACTTACGACAACAGTGCAAATTTCCACTACCAGCTCTGAGTACACTTCGCAAATGGGCCCTCTCATTTGACATTAGGCAGGGTTTTTTAAAATCTGTGGCAGTCTTGATAAAAGATAAAGCTCGCATTTTAACAGACCTTGAACGCATCACGGTTTTGTCTTTTGATGAAATGTATATAAATCATCAAGTCTGTTTTGATAAATCACTTGAACAAGTGTTTGGTCCAAATCGTGCTGTGCAAGTAATAATGTGTCGTGGTCTATTTGCCCAATGGAAACAGCCCATTTATTTTGATTTCGACACCGCTATAACCAAAGACATATTATTTAATGTTATCAATGAACTACATGCTTGTCAGTATACAGTAATTGCAATTGTAAATGACATGGGACCAGGGAATATGGCACTTTGGAATGACTTAGGAATTAACATGCAAAATACCTGTTTTAATCATCCATCTGATGAAAGCAAACAAATTTTTGTGTTTGCCGACGTGCCGCATCTTCTGAAATTATTGAGAAATCATTTTCTGGACCATGGTTTTGTGTTTGACGGACAAATGATCACAAAAAACTGTATAGAATCATTATTATCGATTTCTTCTGGCAGTGACTTGAAAATCGCTCATAAGATTAGTCGTTATCATTTAGATGTCAAAGGGAGCCAAAGACAAAAAGTCAGACCTGCTGCACAATTACTTTCTAACACAGTGTCCAAAGCCATACAATGGTGTGGGGACAACAACTTAATAAAGGATACAAATTATGCAGAAACATCGAACTTTATAAAATTAGCCAATGACTGGTTCGATATTTTTAATACGAATTTGAAATTCTGTCCTTCTGGAAGTAATGCATATGGCATAAATTTGGACCATCAGGACCTCATTATAAATACAATGACTGAAACAATGTCACATGTTCGAGGAATTGGGAAAAAAACACTGTTACCATTCCAAAAAGGAATTATCATAAGTAACAAGTCCCTGCAAGGTTTGTACCAATATATTACCCACATCTTTAAAGTGGACTACATTTTAACACGTCGCCTAAACCAAGACGTATTGGAGAATTTTTTTTCTTTCATTCGTGCCATGGGTGGTAGCAATGACCATCCTAATCCTGTTGACTTTAAATACAGGTTGAGGTGGTACATTTTGGGCAAACACTCTGCAGCTGCAATATCAGCCAATAAAAATTGCGAAAAAGATGAGGATGAGGCCTTACTCTTTTCTTTCTCCGATGAGTCTGGTAACAGTGATATTTGTTTGACTCATTCATTATTTTCAAATATTTTGGACACTGGTATTGAAGATGAAATGTTAAGTAAGGAAAGCGATGTGGCAACTCTCCACTTTGCTGACGAGTTCGCTGAAATTGAAATAAATCTTCCCAATACTCAAGTCAGCCAGGAAGGACTTCAATACGTTGCTGGATATGTTGCTCACCGTTTCCGGTTAAAATATCCACATCTTGGAACTCCTGCGGAAAATATACCTGGACCAAGCAGTTCCAATTGGATCCACTTTCTTTCGCAAGGCAACTTGCTGCAGCCTTGTGCTGATTTAATACATGCAGCAAAAATTTTAGAGACGTTGTTTCTACTTTATAACGGAGATGGTATCAACAAAGCGCCAAACATTTTTAAGAAGTTAACACATCAACTTCAAACTAAATTATCTCCAACGGTAACATTACCAAAGGAGGTATTACACTGCCTGGTTCGAACTAGAACTTTTATTAGAATCAAAGAATTAAACAAGAAAACTTCAAATCAGAAAAACACTAAAAGGAAAATAAAGAAATTTATTCAGTAAATTACATGATTATAATATAATATATCCATTTGCTTACCTTTTACAGCGGCATTACTTATGTCGTGTTATGGTTGATTTATTAAATGAAGCTGCATACACCGATCTTTAGGCCAGTTTCATAATACAAATTAAAGCTTCCTTTACAATGCAATAATATTCTTCCCGCTTATGTTAAATTACAATTTGTAATTTCAATATTAATAACTTTAACAATTGACATAACCTCTGTTTTCTAACCTAAATTTATGGTTATGTCTGGTGCTTGCTCAAAAAATGTCAAAAACGTAAACACAGTGTGACGTTAGTTGGAATCTGCGCGAATGGTGCTTAAACTCGCTATCTCCGTAGCATACCATGTTTTCTTGTATCATGGGGAAGGCTAGGGACTTTTAGCTTGAGCTGTCATAGCTCTGTCAAATACGTCAATTAGCTGCCGGCCAAGTGTGCCGGCTTACGAAAGATAATGAAATTAATAGTGATAAAAATGTAATTATTGAAAGTTGAACGGTCCAAAAATGTGGAACACACCCTGCGGTAACTGCTTAATTTTTGCGATTCGCTGTTATTTACGGGGAATACAAATTAGTCAACAGTAAGGTAAGTTTTTACCCACTCACGCACTTTAGTCTTTAATGAAGTTATACAAGAAGAACTACATTAAAATTTAGAAATCAAAGTATCCAGTTCTAATGTTTTCCCACAATTTGTTTTATTTTTTTTGTACACTTAACCTCTGATTTGTCCGCGATTATTGATTTGTTCAATTCCCTAATGCGGATATACGTTCGCGTTCTCACCAAACAGCGAATCACTTCATCTGGAAACTTGCTAGTGTTAATATTATTTTTTACTTCGTTTACGACGGTTGTTATGATTTTAGGCACTTTTTGAATGTCTGCCCCGTGGAAATTTACAAAAGTTGCTTCCATCACTTCCGCAACTTGCAGAAATTCTTTGGTAGGATGAAGCAAATTTCCTTTTGAAATAAAGTTAATCCAATCTAGGTTAGAAGTTGAGGTGGAAGGAGCGTCATTGTCTGGGCTAGAATTACCGAGATGTGGATATTTCGTCCTGAACCGATGTGCTACATATCCAGTTAAATACCGTAGTCCTTCATGATTGATGATTATTTCTGGTGTAATTATGCTGGAATCACCACCTTCACACAGGGATGGATCATCAACAAAATGAATTTCAATCCACTCACAATTGAGCTCTGTATCAATATCAAAACTTGAAGATGTATCTACAATTGAAGCAAACAATGGAGCAGTAAGACAAACTTCCTGTTGTTCTTCATGGTCTTGTAAGGGGTTGGTTAATTTATCATCTTCATCTTCCTCACAGTTTTTAGATTGAGTGAGAGCGCCTGAAGAATTTTTTCCTAAAATATACCACCTCAAACGATACATAAAGCTAATGGCATCAGGGTTGGTATTTACAGCACCCATACTTCGCATATTAGAAAAAAATTTTCTAAAACATCTTGGTTCAAACGCCTAGTCATGATATATTCCAGGTTATAAGTAGTTACAAGGTAGTGATATAGACCTTCCAATGATTTATTGGTAATGATGATTCCTTTTTGGAATGGTAATAGAGCACGGTGTCTTACTACTCTCATTGCTGTCATTACTTCAGTCATTTTCTGGATTATCTTCATCTGATCATTCAAGTTAACTCCAAAGGCACTTACTCCTTTTGCTGAATATTTTGAAGATGTATTCAGCAAGTCAAACCAATTGTTCACCAACTCAATAAAATCAGAAAGTGTTTTAAAATTGCTGCACTGGATTAATTTGTTTTCACCACAGTAGTCAAGTAGTTTGGCTGTCGTATATGAAAATAATTTAGCAGCACTTTTAACTTTTTGACGTTGTGACCTTTTAACATCCAACAAGTCCTGGGTAACTTTATGGCCAATTCGCAAGTTGTTGTTTGTTCCGAGTTCAATAGCATCTTCAATGTATTTTTTGCCATAATTTTTGTTATTTAAGCAGAAGCCGCTGTCAATAAAGTGGTTTCGAAGCAGTTTCAGTAAGTGGGGAACGTCGGCAAATGCAAATACTAATTTGCTCTCATCATTTGGGTGTTGAAAAAATGATTTTGATATATTTATGTTTAGTTCCCTCCACAAGCCTAAATTCTGTGACCCCATATCACATACAATTGCAACAACTGTATAATCACACTCATACAAAGTTTTGATGATATGCAATAACAGCGTTCTTGTCATAGGGGTATCAAAATTATAATATATGGGTTGCTTCCAGGGGGAACATAAACCGCGTGCCATCACTACTTGTACTGCTCGGTGGGGTCCAAAAACTTGCTCTTTTTCTTTATGAAAACAATATTGTTTGTCTATGTACATCTCATCAAATGAAAGTACCGTCAATCTTGAAGTTTCATTCAAAATTTTGGCTTTCTTTTTCATTAATAATGAGACGTCTTTCAAAACTCCAGGATCGACACTAAACGTACTTGCCCACCTTCTTAAAGTGCTCAAATCAGGAAGTGGATATTGACACTTCTCTCGTAAGTATTTATAAGCTTTCGGGCTAATGCTCCTTAAAGAAATTGCCGATGCAATGTCTTCGGCTGACCACTGGATACGTTTTGTTTGTGTCACTAATTTTTTTATTTGACCAGGGGTAAAAATTGTTTTTAACGTCTCTACAATTTTTTGATCCTCATTTCTTGCCTTCAGTGCACCTTGGAGTGCTAGGTTTTCATCTTTTATAAGTTTTAGTTGGTTACTTAATTTTTCATATTTCCTTGACAGTGTTAGGAATTTCTTTTCCCAGATTTGCTTTTGACTTTTATATCTTACGCACTGACACTTACGACAAGCTTTAAGGTCGTTTGAGGAGTCTATTTTACTGCCACTATTGTCATTATTTGTCGATGCATCATATTTTAAAGATTGAATATCACTGTCATTTATATTTCTTGAGGCACTTAATGAAACGTTAAACAAATTCTTTTTGCAATGTTTTACAGGAAGCAACAGAGGCAATGGAACTGAAGTCATTACACATTTACCATTGTTACTTGAACCACTTTTATCTGGAGTTTTTTTACTTAAACTGTTATGGCTCAATACATTTGTAAAAGCCAATGGCGAGTGTCCCGTTTTATGTGGAGCCAAAGGACCCAGTAATGTAGGTATTGCTGTATTTAATATTTTTCTTCTGTTTTTTGGGCTATAGTTTAATACTCTTTGTAGTCCTAGTTTCGTTTCACATTTCTTTGTAAAATGTATTGAACACATTCGAGCTAGTGAAAAAGTAATAAAATGAAAAACAATGTTTATTAATTATTTATTTGTTTTTATTCTTACCATTCTTAACATTTATTGGGCTTCGACCACAGAATTCCACCCAAGCCTCTAAAATTATAGGTTCTTTGGGAAATCTGTAAAAAGTAAGATCTGGTTGCTTTTTTTTGCTATTCCCACAACCCAAAACAGCACAGTAAGTCATTTTTAAAAGAAAAAGATAAAATTTTGGTTACACTGGGTTACGCGCTAACGTAAACTGCAAGTAAATCCAGGGCGTACTTACTATTTAATGTAGGGGTGGAGTGGACCATAGACAAAGATACAGCTAAATCGTCTATGGAACAAGTCCTTTGATGAATCTCGACAAGTATTTTTTTACCCTGGCAGCGGCTCTAACTACTTTTATTAATGTATTAATCCTTTTTTTATTTATTTTGCGTATCTCATTTTTGACGAAACTATATTTTGTTTAATATATTGATATAACAATAACTTTTGTTTTGCAATTTTAGAAATTTATCTCTTTTACTTAATTGTCTAGATTTAGGATTGATACGGGGGAATTTGCAACGTGACAGGATAAAAAAATATAAAACTTCAATTTAAAGAATGTATTTTAAATTTCGCGCTAATTTCACCCCACTTGACGTCACACCCGATGCGTATGCCTATACCATGTCTCCTTCTACCATGGCCCTGCCCACCCGCCTTATTTCAATTTTGATATTGTTTTTATTCGTCGTGAGCCAAAGGGGCGGAGTTAAACAAAATCCTTATTTTTCTACGAGAAATTAAAAACATTTGTGTGAGTATCGTGTTGTTCAAAGAATACTAGGTAAAAAATTAACCTCAACGATTAAGCCCCACCCATACCTGCCCTGATCTAAATAATAATTAAGTTTTCATTCGTTGTCAGTTATAGGGGCGGAGCCTAATTGCAAAATCCATTTCCTTATAAAAATTTACCTTTTTAAACGCGTTTTAAGTTTCTAAGTATAAAAAAATCATCACAATTGAGATGGGATGGGTGAACGGGGTTTATATTTTGCCTTTTTTTCTTAATATACGTCGTATTTTTTTAACAATACGATACTCAAAAACATGTTTTTAAATTCTTGTAAAGGAATAAGTATTATGCAGTTAAGCTTCGCCCTCTGGGCTACGGGAGAATAAAAAAAATCATCACAATTGAGACAGGGCGGGTGGGCGGGCTTACATCTGGGTTTTTGTTTTAATATGTTTAGACATCTTTTCACAACATGAAACTTAAAACATGTTTAAAATGGAAAATTGGTATAAGGAAATATCGGTTTTGCAATTAGGCTTTAACACATAATTGCAAAATCTATATTTCCTTCCAAAAATGTACCATTTTAACCATGTTTTATGTTTCTTGTTGTAAAAAGATGGCTATATTATATTAAGAAAAAAAGGCAAAATATAAGCTCTGCCCACCCGGCCTATCTCAATTAATATTTTTTTTTATTCGTTGTAAGCCAAGGAGCGGAGCTTAATAGTAAAATCATTATTTTTTTACGAGACATTACCATGTGAACTCGTGTTATATAAAGAAAATTGAATGTGTTAATTAAAAAAGAAAACCAAAAGAGAAGCCCCACCCATCCGTCTCGATCTCAATCATAATGAATTTTTCATTCGTTGTCAGACCGAGGGGCGAAGCGTAATTATTGCAAAATTGATATTTCCCTATATAAATTTACGATCTTAAACATGTTTTAAGTTTCTTGTTGTGAAAAGATGACTCCACGTATTAAGAAAAAAAGGTAAAATGTAAGCCTCACCCATCCGCCCTATCTCAATTGTGATGATTTTTTTATTCGTCGTGATCCAAGGGGGCGGAGCTTAACTGCAAAATCATTATTTCTTTACAAGAAATAAAAAACATGTTTTTGAGTATCGTGTTGTTCGAAGAATACTATGTATATTAAGAAAAAAACAAGTCAAAAATTAAGCCCCACCTATATCCATCCCAAGCTCAATTGTGATGAATTTTGTATTCGTTGTCAGACCGAGGGGCGGAGCTTAATTGCAAAATCGATACTTTTCTACAAAAATTTACCATTTTAAACTTGTTTTACCTTTCTTGTTGTGAAAAGAAGACTATACATATTAAGAAAAAAGAGCAAAATGTAAGCCCTTGTAGTTTTAATATCGTAACGGCGCAAGTTAAAAGTTGGTCATCTCGAACGTCATCCTAACGACGTGTCAACTTTCAACGGCAACGTCAACAGATGGTATAAACGACGCATACCTTTGCTGCGTATTTATCATCGGCAACGTCAACGTCGAGCAGCAACGTTAGCGGCAAGTTTATAAATCGACTTTAACTCCTCTGCAAACGGATGCAATCCTAAAAACGAAGGTACTCTGGGACTACTGTATACGTTGATTATGAAAAATTGTGAATTTTGCTGCATCGTTGTGATTGATGATCACTCGTTTCTTATTACAAATATATTATTAAGGCCTTATTTTTCTTAAATTTTGTTGATTTGCTCATGAAGGTGGTTTGCTGCTTGATAAATAGGCAACCAATAATTCAGTTCGAATGATAAAACTTGTTTCTTATCTCATGGAAACGGAAAATTCTGATTGCAAATGCAGTGACAGATTTTCCAAAACCAATTTGATGAGTTCTTTATCTATTTTTAAATTGTCGGTCAAAATCAAACTCGAGTTTTGTTGTTTAGTTACCAATAAACTGCAAACCGAGAAGTTATTGTGAAATTTATTTATTAAAATGTATCAAATTAAGATAAATTATCGTCTAATTGGATGACACTTAAAAATTGTGGTAGTTAATTTTCAGCATAAATACACTATGAAAAAAATTGGTTGAAGGTTATTTCGACAGAATTTTCGAAAAATTATAAGAATTGATTTGTGAATTTTATTTTTTATGACAACCCTTATAAGTTAAAAAAATATGTATGTAATGTTAAAGTAATCGTAAAGAAGCGACCTAGAAGGATTTTCAAATGAGTTTTTCCTTTAGAAAATTTTGTGACGACGTCACCAACATTTTCGTAGGAACACCTATATCTACTTGGATATTTGCGGAGTAAGGTTAATAATAACAGTATTGTATTCCCAAATTTTTGGGAAATAAACTGACTAATTCATTATTTTTTTGAGTCGTCCTGTATAAGCAATTCTAAAAATTATTAATGTAGTGATAAATCACAAGTATATACTCATCATATTTTTGCAAATTTTCAATAGAATTTATTGGGCAAAATTCTCAGACGACGTCAATTTTTTGGAGGGTCTAAACCATATATGTCTAAACAGATATATTTTGATTAAAAATTTACCATGCTTACGATAACTTTAAAACGTTTACAAGATTTCAAAGCAAGTTTTGTAGTTACTGATTTAATCAATAAAATAAATTGTCTCATTCATAAATTGTTTTGAGTCAACTAACTGTCTAAGCAATGCTAAATAGTATGACTGCAACGATAAATAGCGCTATTTTAGATAAAATTTATTCGGCAAAATTTGTATTTTGATCAAAAACTAACTATGCTTACGATAACTTCAAAGTGTCTGCAAAATTTCATTGCAGATGCAAAATTAAATTGCAAAATATACAATTTTGATTTATTTTCCAAAAATTTGGGCGTCTCTGGTAGAAACTCAATACGGATTAATAAACTACATGTTCAGTTATTTTATGCTATAGAAAACCCGTTTACTATGTACATTTTGAGATGTTCTCATCAAATTGTTGGTGGACTAGCCAAATTTTCGTCAGCGTTTATCCTTAGATCCATGGGCGCCGGCAGCGGGGTGCAAGGGGGTGCACTTGCACCCCCCTGGCTTAGTATAAAATACACACTTTAATTTAAATCCAAATTGCAATCTTCTAGGAAGTGGATAATAGTTTTTGAAATGGTTTCGCATTCAGTTCTTGCAACACATATCCTAAAAATTCTTCGCAAATTATTGAATTTTTATTATCTTGATCACAACGCAAATACCGAACTCCAGTCGATAATTGTTCTGTGTCACTAATAGGTATTAACAGTCTCATCAGCCAACACCTAAAAAACGGATGCCTGATTCACATCCTCAATTATTTTGCTCTTCACAACATCAGTACAAGTTTCAATCAATTCATTTTGAATTTGATGCGATATATACAAAGAGTTTCTTTCTCCTGATTCTAAATGATTTTTTTTAAATTTCATCCCCAGATTCAATTCGAAAATGGAGCAAATATATATATACTATATCCTATAATGTATGGGTGCACCCCCCTGCAAATAATCCTGTCGGCGCCCATGCTTAGATCATATAATAATTATTATATGATCTAATCGTTTATCTATCTATTCCCAATATCATAAAAAATATATAATATAAATAAATCTGATTGGGGCTTCATAAATTTGTAATATTATTTTTCCTAACAGTTATTGTTAGTATAGAAACTACAGTTTAATCTTTTTTAGCCATCTGGTAAGCTTAATTTTTATACACGAAATTGACACATCAAGCATATGGTATTCTACGTTTGAATTTGGTGGTATTTTTGACATACTTGTCTGGACCAGCTAAATGTCTCTTGTGTTGATTCTGAAATATTAAACTGCCTGCTGAATTTATTTAAACTCATTCGATGATTTTTTAAATGCCTGAAGAGTATTATTAAGTTTTCTTCAGATAGCTTGACGCAAGATTATGTTCTATTTTTGGATTGAAACGGATAAAAGAGATGCCTATAATGTGTGACGATTTATTAATTACGTATTCGTATGCAAATTGATTAGACAAGACTAGATTGACGCAATAGTGTAAACATTTTTATCATTTTTTGAATACAAAAAAACTTGTAGATATAATATTTGTCATTAATATTTCTAGAGTGTGAACTCTTATTTGTTGAAAACATTGCTACTGTACGTTTTCGTTTGACCGAAAATTTTCTCTCTATTCACTCACCTGCATACACTGAGATTTCCTCTTTCCGCTCACTATTTATGGCTGTTTTGAAGAATTCTGTTACTCCATTTCGCTTAATGTTCTTTTTTAATATTCTCCCGCCCTTTATGATTTTGATGTCTTTTTTCTCTCCTGGGAGACATCCATTCCACAATCGCTTTGGGCAGTTGTTCGCTTTCCATTCTTTTCACATGAAAAGAATAAGAATTTATTAAGTGCCACAAATGCTGATTTGTTTATTGTTTCTTACTGATTTAGTTTCATCTTTCTATAAAAAATGTAATGACAAAACGACAAAACTACTACTATTTTACCTTTAAATTATCGTTACATTGTTCCTTAGTCTTGTTTCGGAATTTAATGTGTTAAAAAGAAATATTGTTACGAAAAATTGTGAAGTTATGACGCCGTTTCAGCTGTTTGGTTCAACGTGTAACCGAACTTGTGTAAGAGAAGATGATACTTTTCGCTAAGTTGAAAAAGTTGTCTAGCTAGTTTTCATCATTTTTAAAAGTATGTACAAAATTGTACTAAAAAGTAGTACTGGTACTGCGTTAATTAACACAGATTTATGTTTATAATCCATACTGTTCACATGAAGAAAAATGTTTTGCTGAATTTTTCTTGTTTTGTTCTACTGATGAAATACCAAATTATTCACGAGACTCAAGAACAATTTGATTTATTTTTAGGTTTTTTATAAAATTTAAAGAATATTTATTCTGCAGAATTGTAAAATGACGTCATTATTTTTTGGGCAGGCTATAAAGAATACATTTTGATTGTCGATTTATCATGCTTCCTATAGCCTTAAAACGTTCGCAAGATCTCAGAGCATTTGATTTTGCAATTTCAAAGTTAAATTGTAAAATATAATTTTTAATTATTTCCCAAAAATCTGAATGTCTAGGATAAAAACTCAGTATGGATTCATAAACCATCTACGCAGGAGTATGTTATTTTATAAAATTTAAATAATATTTACTAATGTAAATTTTAGACGGACGGAAACGGGAGACCTATATTTTCTCGAGGGGACCCTTACGTTCAGGAAGTAAATATGATTTTTGAATATTTTCATTTATTTTCTAAATAGCAAGATTTTTCCTGATAATAATATAATAAGTCAATTATGCATAAATATACATATACATATACATGACGAAGGACATAATCCTGCATTAGCGTTAACATTAACATATGGTTAACTCTGTGAGGTTAGTTTTGTTTTTAAAAATAGACGAATACCAGTTTTGATGATATCATTGTTGACACTGATATGGTTTATCTATGTTCGATAAAACACGTTATTCATGTTAGTCAACAAAATATATAAACACTCCTTCCAGTGAATAGGTTAAATTAGATATAGTTTTGGCGTGAACGAAATAATAATGAAAAGTTTATGTAAACTTTTTGCAGCATGCAGTAAACAGACTTTCCGTACGTCCACTTTATATACAAACACCAAAATTCGAATGTACAAAATGGACAGAAGGCTTGAGTTCAGTTCCGTAATTAAAGAAGCAGAAAAAGTGGTCGGGTATCCTGTGTCTTTTTTAAATCTGAGAGTAATTTTAAATGACGAAATTGCTAATATACTATCGTATACCAAAAAATTAATAGAAATGAAACATCCACTTGTACAAACACTTTCGTAAGTATAGCGATTTATTTTGTGAGTGCTATCCTGGATATAATAAATATTTTATTATAGAAATCTCGTTTTTCAAAATGAACAGAAAACGTTTGGACTTATAGTTCTCCTTATGTCAAAAGTAGCTGGATTAAGTGGGAATTTTCGTGAGAGTGAATATGATCGTGGTACTGGTAACGTTATGCGGACCTTATCTTGTTGGTTAATTGCTAATACATTCTTTGTAGACATTCTCCACAGTCAAAGAGTTATTGCTGAAGTAATAGAAATGATTAAAACTGGTCATTTAATGCACACAAGTCTCTCAAACATTGACGCCTCTACCAAAAATGTACTCGACATAAATTTTGGAAACAAATTAGCCCTTTTGTATGGAGACTATTTACTGGCCATCAGTAGCAGCGAACTTGCTCGTTTAAAAAACCATCAAGTTCAACAAATAATTTCATCAGCTTTAAGAGATTTGGCTGAATCTCAATTTTTTGGATTAAGAGATCCTCAAAATAATCCGATACCGTCTAAACCACTTCCTGAACAAAAAGATGTTAAAATTCCAAACGAATTTGGAGTAGAACCCCTAAAATTTGAAGATGTTTTAGGTAATATGAAAGCAGAATGGACTTTGAGAAATATTTTGTGTAGTGGCAGTTTATTGGCAAAGTGTTGTCAGGGTAGTTTAATTTTGGCAGATCATGAATTTTTCGTACCTAAACTAGCCTATATTTTTGGTAGAAATTTAGCGTTAGCGTGGCAGGCTTCGTTAGAAAAAGTTCAAATTAAAGAGGAAACATTTAGCTTAGTATCGGCGCCAGTAATGTTACATTTACAACATGATCCTAGTTTGTACACAGAAATTGAAAAAGGATTATCTGATCAGAAAAAAGTCAATTATGATTTAATACGAAAGGTTGTTATGAGTGGGCCAGGGTTAGATAAAACTGACCAGCTGAAGAAAGAATTCTCAGATACAGCTTTGAATGTTTTAAATAATTTTTCAGATAGTGGTTCTAAAACAGTGCTTATAAATATAATTAAAGCTTTGTGATGGTAGAAATACATAACTTGAGACGTTTTAATTTAGAAAAGGGAGATTCTATAAATACACTGCCCTGTAAAATTAACAAAAAAATTTAAAATTTTATTTTGCACATGGCCTTTCAAAAATTTATGAACTGGCCTGCATGAAGTGCGGACCTCAATCCCATCGAACATTTATGGGACATAGTGGGAAAATTAATTAAAGCATTACAGTACCCTCCTACTACCCTCCCAGAGCTAACACTTAGATTGACGCAAAAGTGGCAAGAAACTGATCAAGAAGAAGTTAGTTCGAGAAGCCAATACACGTTATTAATTCTAACTGAGCGACGTTTAAAGCATTACCAAATAAGATGTTATTTTTTGGTTTGCAATTTTAAAATTTTGCGTTAATTTTGTTGGGCAGTGTAGTATTCATTCTAGAATAAAATTTAGATTACTTAATCAAATTTCTGTTGACACCATAGTGTCAAAATGACTATAATTATTACTTACTTGTTATTTTGTCACTACTAATCAAGTTTAAGTAGAAGTGACTTAAAATATGACTTATAATACTAAAATAGTGTTTTATAAAATGTTACCAATACACAATTTTTAAATAATTTTTCCTTTTATAAACTCAGAAATAAATGTATCCAACGTATTTTTTTTAAATGTAGATTTATTGGGCTTTTAAAAAGAATACTATACAAATTAAAGGAGTAAATCCTTTATTGAGCCCTATCTGAAGTAATAAGATCGTAATTACTTGCTGAAATAACTTTTACCACACTTTAATCAGCTGCAGAAATGTGAAGCCTACATTGTATGCAACAAACATTCATTAGAAATATTTGTGTTGTTTATGTGTACACCAAGAGCGTATCATATTTTGTTAGTATGGTTAGTCACTTGAAAGCTAATGGTTCCGACAGGAGGTTCAGACGCACCCTTGCTTTGACGGTTTACCACCTCCCTTACTCCACTCCGGGCTCTGCTGATGCGATCGCTTCATACCGATTGCTCCTAATCATCGAACAATTTTTTGCAATTACATTTTAACAAGACCCTACATAACTGTCCAGAGCAACCATTAGGATTACCGATCGCACTTATATGGAACGACAAAAACCGTCCACGTTTTTAAATCCCTGGGCTTTATACTAAATTACAAAGTTTCTCCCATCGGAGAATGTCCAAAAATCAACATTTGGACCGCTTCAGTAATCCGTCGTCTGCGTCGTATGGTTTACCTTCCACAATATGTACTCATATTTGCTTGCCTAGCAAAATTTGGTCGGTGGTATTCTAGACAAGTTAAAAGAGCCAAATACACCATGCCTAAAACTATTAAGCAGACCTACAACTGACGGCTGTTTTTTCACGATCTTCATGTGGTGGAAAACAGCAGTCTGAATCTTAAATAACTTAATTCAACGGGATGAATATCCTGATTCCTTTCGCCGATTATACTTTAAATGATTGTGAGGCACATCGCAAATAAGAGAATACTCACAGTTGGTGGAATAAGGTGAGTTAACAAAACACATCAGTTACCTGGAACTACCAGCCAATGGGCACTGGTTTGAGCTACGCTCTTTATGCTTAGATGCTCCATATAGCCCCTTCAAAGACAATGTGATGCAGATTATGAATCATGGCACTGAGACAGAATGGTGGCTCAAGGACCCAGTTTATTAATTCTTCGACGGTTCGGTAACATTACCATAGATTTACTTACATCTCGACTGAACCACAAACCTATTGACTTTTACGCTTTCCTAACATTTGGCCTCCAGTTACACACCATAAACAAAAGTAGATGGGCGCTTCAGCCTCTCGCAGTCACTCTTCCTCGGGTAGCAGGGAAATTATTGGGAAAGCTTACGTTTAAAGAAGGTTCCACCATCAGCGGCTATCTTCCTAGGTCTGACAATTACTTTCAGCATCTTGAGAGAATATAGTGTCACCTACAAACTCCGGTGGTAAAATTATTACGAAAATAGAATTCCGGCTTACACCACAGAAACCGAGCCAGTTTTTAGAAAATTATACAACATCAAATTATGCAAACGACGTCAAGCTTATAGCTCGTCCACAATACCTTAAGCCAAAAATGCTTTACACTGTTTTATAATCAATCCTTGGGAAACACGTTCATCTTGGGACGAACAGTACTAACACCCGGAAGGTCGTCACTTTCATAGATATTATAGAGTTTGATATATCAATCATTATAAGCCTTGATTACTTCTTGCATGTTACAATACTTCACTCCTATTATTATGCACATCTGTACTAACTTTAAACAGCTATTAGGATGTAAAACCAAGTGATATCTACGACTGGATGTGGTGATATAATTGTCAAAACAAGAGAACTTAACTGTGAAATTCGATGTCAATTATATTAGAGGTCTAGTCTGAAGATCTACCTAACCTTTGAACGGTAGAGCGGTAAAAACCTTTATACCCACCTCAGCTTGTGGATTTCTCTTGAAAGTCAATGACGGAGCAACAGAGAACTGGTAGAGTGGTATCCGAAGAAAAGGAAATCAAAATATTTAAACTGAGTGGTATTGACTAGCACAAATGGCGTACTACTGGTATCTAAAACCAAGTGATATCTTTGGACTGGACGTCTAATATATCGTACATTGGTATCGAACTCCATACGTAAATTCGTTTGATTTGACAAATATATAACAAGTGAGCAGCAGTGGATTCACGGCAAAACTGGGTTGTGGATAAGGAAACAAAAAATAACTGTAACAAATAACTTAATTAGTTTTATTATTACTGTCATTATCATCATCATTTTAAATATTATTGGGTAGCCATCACCAGCCCAAAGAATACGAGCACTTATCTTATTCTACTGTCACTACCTAGTAACCGTCAAATGTAATAGCGAACTTAAAAGTGAAAGGTGCAACTTCAAGTTAACAGAATCTTACCAAACTGACATGTTTGTTGTAGATCAGCAAACTTTTGCCTGTCTGACTTGAAAATCGACAATCGTTCGTACTACGTATTTATATCAAAAATAAAGGCTTGTTGAATTATTATTGTTGTTTTGTTCTACTTCTGAAACACCAAACTGTTCATGAGATTTAAGAACAATTTCATGTGTCCATAAACTAGTATGACTGTTCATGTTGGTAATCTTGCAGTTAATATGTGCAGGACTTGGGTTCCATGTTAACAACATACATTTTATCAGTATTGCATGGATGTGAAGGAACTGATTTTTGACTCGGGTTTTGATTTTACGTTATTCTTGTTGTAATTTTCAAGTTTTCAATGTAGAAAATTATGGTAAAGTTTTGCCGATAAGCGTACCTCATTACATAATTTTACATAAGGGCCTATATGTGTAGAAATAAATTGCGTGTATGTATCTACGCAATATGTAGCACACAAAATAATGATGAAAGACAAGGTTGCATTAGCATTAACATTAACATATGGTTATCCTATCAGGTCAGTTTTGTTCGAAAATTCCAGTTGTGATGATAAGAGGTATTAATTTTGACGCGTAAGTTTGAATCAAAGAATTTATAATATTACTGTAATCTACTCTAATCTGAAAACTTTTTGATCACCCGTTATTAATTATACGTCTTTATCTACATTTTATAAAATACGTTACCTACGTTAGTCGACGCAACAGTAAACATTGCTTACAGGGAATATGTCAATTTAAATACAATTTTGGTGTTAATAGATTAAAAAAAATGAAGAGTTTTTGTAAATTTTTTGAAGCGTGCAGTAAGCAGCCTTTTCGTATATCCACTCTGAATTCAAACACAAAAATTAGAACGTACACGATGGAGCGTAGGCTTGCGTTCAGTTCCGCAATTAAAGAAGCAGAAAGAGTGGTCGGGTATCCTGTGTCTTTTTTAAATTTGAGAGTAATTTTAAATGACGAAATTGCTAATATTTTACTGTACACCAAAAAATTAATAGCAATGAAACATCCGCTTTTGCAAACAGTTTCGTAAGTATAACGAATAACATATTTTGTGCTATCCTCGATATATATTTGTTTTTATTATAGAAATCTCGTTTTTCAAAATGAACAGAAAACGTTTGGACTTATAGTTCTTCTTATGTCAAAAGTAGCTGGATCAAGTGGGAATTTTCTTGAGAGTGATTATGATCGTGCTGCGGGTAACGTTAAGTCGACGTTAACTTGCTGGTTAATTGTTAATACATTCTCTTTGTAGATATTCTCCACAGTCAAAGAGTTATTGCTGAAGTAATAGAAATGATTAAAACTGGTCATTTAATGCACACAAGTCTCTCAAAGATTGACGCCTCTACCAAAAATGTACTCGAGATGAATTTTGGAAACAAAGTAGCCCTTTTGTATGGAGACTATTTACTGGCCATCAGTAACAGCGAACTTGCTCGTTTAAAAAACCACCAAGTTCAAGGAATAATTTTATCAGCTTTAAGAGATTTGGCTGAATTCGAATTTTTTGGATTAAGAGATCCTCAAAATAATCCGATACCGTTTAAACCACTTCCTGAACAAAAAGATGTTAAAATTCCAGACGAATTTGGAGTAGAACCTCTAAAATTTGAAGATATTTTAGGCAACATGAAAGCAGAATGCACTTTGAGAAATATTTTGAGCAGTGGCAGTTTATTGCCAAAGTGTTGTCAAGGTAGTTTAATTTTGGCTAATCATGAATTTTTCGTACCTAAACTGGGCTATATTTTTGGTAGAAATTTAGCGTTAGCGTGGCAGGCTTCGTTAGAAAAAGTTCAAATTAAAGAGGAATCGTTTAGCTTAGTATCGGCACCAGTAATGTTACATTTACAACATGATCCTAGTTTGTACACAGAAATTGAAAAAGGATTATCTGATCAGAAAAAAGTCAATTATGATTTAATACGAAAGGTTGTTATGAGTGGGCCAGGTTTAGATAAAACTGACCAGTTGAAGAAAGAATTCGCAGACGTAGCTTTGAATGTTTTAGATAATTTTTCAAATAGTGGATCTAAGACAGTGGTTGTCAATATAATTAAAGCTTTGTGATTTGTAATAAAAAGGCATAACTTACGACGTTTTAAATTAGAAAAGGGAGATTATATAAATATTATCCATTCTCGATCTTTTCGACAGTAGGTTTGGCTATGAAAATCTTATACAGAAATAGGGTAATCAAATTGTCTCAATTTTTCTGGTGGGGTCTGTTTTAAAGATACGGCCAGAAAATGGATCATGAGATTTTTTGTTTACGTGATTAAACAATGTACCATATGATCGAAAAAATTCGCCATGGTTGCTTATTGCTTAACGGAAAACTGATGTGTAGCTCCAATGTGAACATTGGCTGTGGGAATTGTTAGTAGACATGAGAAAAATCCTGAAGAACACGTACTTATTTAGGCAGTGAACGATTTTGTTATTTAAAGTCTCTTAATCGTCTCATCTTCTAAATCTGCAATGTAATTTGAACTGCAGTAGTAAAAAAAGAAATTTTTGTTTTTGTGTCTATATATACCGCGTGTCTGGAAAATGGCGGATTAACTCTTCAGTACGTTATATACGGGAGTTTGGGTAGTTCCAAAAAATTAATAAAAAAATTGGTCTAAAGAGTTTAGACAGTACTTCCCTCGCTGTCGGAAACTTGACGACTGCATGGCTATTGTGTTTTTTTCTCATTACATTTTTGTAGTGGGAATTTAAAATTGCGATGACGTCATCAACATTTTTGCAAGGACACGTATATCAGTTGGGATAGATGTAGTGTAATACTAAGAATAAAATTATTGTATTCCCAAATTTTCGGGAAAATGAATTGGGTCGTTTTGAATATTGATTTTTTATAATCAATAAAATAACGAAACAATTTACTCACGTATACGGCAACTGAAAATCGTTTATGTATAAACATGCTTAATTTAAGATGACAAGCGTAACAGCATACGTGAGAGTCAAACAAAGAAACTGTAAACAAAACGACCATCGGTTTTATTGCTTCGACTTCCGCTTATTATATAAAACATTGGGTTTTATTTTAATTCTTGATGGTGAAATTCAGAATTGGTTGATTATAAACATGTCTATTTCACATTCGCGGAACCAAGTGAACAAATGCAGGTCTGTAATGTTAAAGTCGATGTAAATAAGCGTGCTACCCTTATGTTTCAACCGAGTTTTTCCTTTAACAAATTTTGTGTCTACCAAATTGGGTTGGTTGGGGTGTAATACTAATAATAAGTGTTGCCTTTAATTTAATCAATAAAATAAATTGACTTCATTAATTTTTTTGAACCACCTCTTAAGAAAATCTAAAAAATATGAATGGAATGATAAATCACAAGTACAAACTCATCATATTTTTAGCATTTTAGATAGGATTTATTCAGCAAAATTTAAGGGTGACGTCATCAATTTTTTTAGGAGGGATGAACAAATACATTTTGAACAAAAGTTTACCATGCTTATAATAACTTTAAAATATTCCCAAGATTTCAAAGCATTCGGTTTTGTAATTCCTGATTAAATCGATAAAATAAATTCACGCCTTCATTAATTTTTTTGAGTCACCCTGCATATGCAAAACCAAAAATATGAATGGAATGATAAATCACAAGTACAGACTCATCATATTTTGTACATTTTAGATACGATTTATTCGGCAAACTTTTGAGCTGACGTCATCAGTTTTTTGTAGAAGATAACCAAATATATTTTGACTAAAAATTTATTATGCTCTTTATAACCTTAAAACATCTGCAAGATTTCAAAGCATTCGGTTTTGTAGTTCCTGATTAAATCAATAAAATAAGTTTACGCATTCATTAATTTTTTTGAGTCACCCTGTATATGCATATCGAAAAAATTTGAATGGAATGATAAATCACAAGAAGAGACTCACCATATTTTGTACATTTTAGATAGGATTTTTTCAGCAAAATTTTGTGGTGACATCATAAATTTTTTAGGGGGGACGACCAAATACGTTTTGATCAAAAATGTACCATGCTTATGATAATTTTAAAATATCTTCAAGATTTCGAAGCATTCGGTTTTGTAGTTCCTGAGTAAATCAGTAAAATAAATTTACGCTTTCATTTATTTTCTTGAATCACCCTGTATATGCAAATCCAAAAAATATGAATCGAGTGATAGATCACAAGTACAGACTGATCATATTTTGTACATTTTAGATATGATTTATTCGGCAAATTTTCGAGCTGATGTCATCAAGTTTTTGGAGGGGATAAGCAAATATATTTTGACTAAACATTTATTATGCTCTTTATAACCTTAAAACATCTGCAAGATGTCAGAGCATTCCGTTTTGTAGTTCCTGATTAAATCAATAAAATATATTTACGCATTCATTAATTTTTTTGAGTCACTCTGTATATGCAAATCCAAAAAATATGAATGGAGTGATAAATGACAAGTACAGGCTCATCATATTTTGTACATTTTAGATATGATTTATTCGGCAAACTTTCGAGCTGACGTCATCAAGTTTTTGGAGGGGATAAGCAAATATATTTTGACTAAACATTTATTATGCTCTTTATGACCTTAAAACATCTGCAAGATTTCAGAGCATTCGGTTTTGTAGTTCCTGATTAAATCAATAAAATATATTTACGCATTCATTAATTTTTTTGAGTCACCCTGTATATGCAAGTCCAAAAAATATGAATGGAGTGATAGATCACAAGTACAGGCTCATCATATTTTGTACATTTTAGATATGATTTATTCCACAAACTTTTGAGCTGACGTCATCAAGTTTTTGGAGGGGATAAGCAAATATATTTTGACTAAACATTTATTATGCTCTTTATGACCTTAAAACATCTGCAAGATTTCAGAGCATTCGGTTTTGTAGTCCCTGATTAAATCAATAAAATATATTTACGCATTCATTAATTTTTTTGAGTCACCCTGTATATGCAAATCCAAAAAATATGAATGGAGTGATAGATCACAAGTACAGACTCATCATATTTTGTACATTTTAGATATGATTTATTCCACAAACTTTTGAGCTGACGTCATCAAGTTTTTGGAGGGGATAAGCAAATATTCTTTGACTAAAGATTTATGATGCTCTTTATAGCCTTAAAACATCTGCAACATTTCAAAGCATTCTGGTTAGCAGATTAAAAATTAAATTTCAAAATGTTGTTTTATAATTTTGATTTTTTTTCCAAAAATCTGGACGTTTCGGGTGAAAAGTCGATTCAGAGTTGTAAACTACATGTGTAGGACTATGTTATTTTATACAATTGAAAACCCATTTACTATGTACAATTTTGAAGCGACGTCATCGCATTAGTGGTGGGGATGATTAGACAAATTTTGGCTAGCGTTTTACCATCTACATGATATTCTTAATATAAGTACAAAATTTCACAACAATCGGTCGAGTACTTTCGGAGATTATCTGTCTAATAAAATCCGGGACAACAGACGGACAGACGGACAGACGGACGGACAGACGGACGGACAGACAGACGGAAATGGGAGACCTATTTCTTCGTCTTCTAGGGGTCATGAAAGATCGAGAAAACGTAAAAGTAGAGAGTCGGCCGACGGACTCGATTACAATACTTCCTTTGCTTACGCTCGGGAAGTAAAAATTCTGTATGATGTAGATTAAGAAAAAAACGTAATTATATAAAAGTAAAATTGGCAACACAGCACACACCTAATGCGTTAATAGTTACCTCCGGCTTTCTGGTTTCTTGGTAACGATGGTGACTGAAATCGCGGAGCTTGACGGATCGGTTGCGCATCTCCAGTGTTTATCCGATGCCACACTATGTTTGTGCGCCCAGAGAACTCTCCAGATGCAAACATTCTATTGTGTTTCTGTAGGAACTCTCTTGCGACTTTTCAGCTCTAGAGTAGGAATTTCTAAGTCACTTTTTATTTTATTATTAGAAAAATCTTCGTTGTGATGAAATATTTTCGTGGTTAGTTCACAGACGGCAAGAAAACATTTGCGACGCGTACATGTATGTCACAATCGGTATTAAGTAAAGCACTCGCAATCATGAGATTCTTCTTGGGGGTGTGCGGTGGTTGAGTAATGCTTAGGGAAAACCTGGGTTTGACTTCTGCACTAACTGGAACAATTGTTTCTGCATTCCCTCTAACTTTCACATTCTGGCACGCGATCAGTCTTGCAGGGTTGGATTCAATACAGTGCTGATTCAGGATAAACTCTTCATTGCCAAGACCTAGGACTTTTTCCGCTGGATCGATCGTCAATCCATGGCAACTAATCAAATCCATTACCAAAATAAAGTCGTCTTCAATGTTAGCCAGGACAGTCCGATGTTTTATCTTCAGCTGACAAATGCAGATCTCTACCTCTGCTTCACCCATGATTGGCTTCGACTCTCCAGTCACGGTCTTCAATCTGATTGTTTTGGGTATAGTTTTTAGATCTTTAGCTATCAAGAGTCCTCTACGCAGGATTGAGACTTCAGCGCCAGTATCGATCGTGATTGCACGCAGGTCCCATTAATCTTCCCCGGTACAGTTGGACTACTGCCTTTGGTGAAACTGCCTATTTTCACTTCCCTGGGGTCTTTAGTCTTACCAGCCAGCACATCCCCCAAAGTACTGGCTGTTTTTAGTTTTCCTGTGTATTTCGTTGAGGAGATCTCTGTTGTGTGGTTTTCCTTGGAGCTGGTGATCGAGCAGGATGGTCGTGTGTCTGAGTATGCAAGACGTACCAATCTCTTGACATCTGCTTCAAGTTCTTGTAAAGATTCCCCCGCTTTCTGTATTCTTGTTTTGGCTTGGGCGGCAAAAACATTTTTCAGATGTTCATCTCCAAATCGAAATTCTAGGTCAGTAGTTAGGGTGCTGTATGTGTTCCTATTTTCCTTGGACAGAGTTTGAAGTATCTCTAGCGCTGTTCCTCGCAGTGTTATTACCAAGGCTGTAGCTTTATGTTCTTTTTTCCAAACATTTGCCGTCGGGTGGTTGAATCGTTCGAGGGGCCGACAACACATAGCATGAACTAGTGGTTGCTCCATTTTTTATTATCTTTTCAAATGTCTTCATTCGATCTTCTATAGTTTTCATTTGATTTTCCACGTTGTTTTTCATTGCCATCATATTTCGTCCGACAATATTTTCCATATTTTCCAGATTTGTTTTTATGTCCTTCATTTCTTCTCTGATTTCTTCTATTTAATTCTTGTTTGCTTCTACTTCTTTTTGGGACTTTTGAGTTAGGTTGGTGATTATGTCATCTATTTTTTCGTCCATCTTTTCCATTCTTGCGTCCATTTTTTTGTCCATCTCTTCTATTGTTGCATTCATTTTTTGGTTCATTTCTTCCATGGTTGCGCCCATTCTTTCCATTCTTGCGTCCATTTTCTCGTCCATTTCTTTGTTTTTTGCTTTCATTTTCTAGTCCATTTTTTCCATTTTTGCGTTGATTTGTTCGCCTCTTGCATCCATTTTTTCTATATTTGCATCCATTTTTTCCATATTTGCGTCCATTTTTTCGTCGATTTTTTTGTTCTTTGCGTCCATCTTTCCGTCCATTTTTTCCATTCTTGCGTTGATTTGTTCGCCTCTTGCATCCATTTTTTTTTATACTTGCGTCCATTTTTTCGTCGATTCCTTTTTTCATTTTTGCGAGCATAGCCATCATCTGCTCAATACCACTTATTAATCTCAAATCTCACATCCGACACCAGTGTTACGTTAACCGGGTATTAGAATCGGCGTGGGTTAAACTCTGCAATTTTATTTCTTAATAACTCGAATTTATACGAGGTATAACAGAGCGATTATGTACAAAATAATTCTGGCGCAACTTCACTGGGTTTTTTCGACACTCATTGGACTCCATTTGTTCAGTGAATAATCATCGTTCGCGAAGGTGGCCTCTATTTAAACCTTACTTCCTTCTAGATGTGTGGCGATCGGGATCTTTCTGGATTGCCGTTGGCGACTTCCGCTTCCAGACTTTTCTGTGACGATCCGCTGCCGCTCTGTCGCTGTCATTGACGATGAGTCATAATCGGCGTACAGACCAGAAAGCTCTCGACGGCCATAGGCGTCGTACCGGGGCGGGGTATGGGTTTATTTCGTAACAGTATGTAAATAGAGTAGACAAGACTTTTTAGATTAACACAACTGTGGAAACATTTTATTATTTTTTTGTATACAAAAAAAGCTTGCACGTATATTATTTGTCATTAATATTTCTAGAGTGTAAACTCTTGTTTGTTGAAAGCATTGCTACTGTAAGTTTTATTTTGACCGAATTACTTACGATACATCGAAAATTTTCTCACTATTCATTCACTTGCATGCACTGAGACTTCCGCTTTCCGCTCACTATTTATGGATGTTTTGAAGAATTCTGTTACTCAGTTTCGCTTAATGTTCTTTTTTAATATTTTCCCGCCCTTTACGATTTTGATGTCTGACATCCATTCCACAATCGCTTTGGGCAGTTGTTCGTTTTCCATTTTTTCCACATGAAAAGAATAAGAATTTATTAAGTACCACAAACACTGATTTGTTTATTGTTTCGTTCTTACTGATTTAGTTTAATATTTCTACAAAAAATATAAGGACAAAACGACGAAGTACGTGAGTAATGGGTTTAAATACATAGTATTTTAGCTTAAAATTATCATTATATTGTTCCTAAGTCTTGTTCCGAAATTTAATGTGTTTAGAAGAAAAATTGTTAGGAAAAATTGTAAAGTGATGACGCTGTTTCAGCTGTGTGGTTCAACGTGTCGGAACCGAACTTGTGTACGAGCAGATGTGATACTTTTGGCTAAGTTGAAAAAGTTGTCTAGCTAGTTTTTAAAAGTATGCGCAAAATATGTATTAAAAAGTATGAATTTGATGTGCTCTTGAGTGCTAATGTTAGTAGTGCTACGGTAGGTATTACATGGAACTAAAAGCTGATTTTTGAAGGTTTTTTGTTATATTCAGGTTTTTTATAAAATCTAAAGCATATTCTGTAGAATTGTAAAACGACGTCATCATTTTCTGGGAGGCCATAAAGAATAAATTTTGATTATCGATTCCTAGAGCCTAAAAATGTTCGCAAGATCTTAGAGCATACGATTTTGCAATTTCAAAGTTAAATTGTAAAATCTATAATTTTGAATTAGTTTCCAAAAATCTGAATGTCTAGGGTGAAAACTCAACATGGATTCATAAACCATCTATGCAGGAGTACGTTATTTTATAACATTTAAATAAAATTTACTGATTAAATTTTAGCAAAATTTTTGGTTACGTTTTACCATCTATACGATATTCCTAAAGTTTGACAACAATCGGTCCAGTAGTTTCCGAGATTATCTGTGTAATAAAAATCCGGACAGACAAACAGACGTATAGACGGATGGACAGACGGACGGAAACGGGAAACCTATATTTTCTCGAGGGGTCATGCAACGTCGAGAAAACATAGAAGTAACCACTCGTCCAATGGACTTGATTACAATGCTTCCTTTGCTTACGCTCAGGTAGTAAATAATATTTTTGAATATTTATGAATGTTTTCATTTATTTTCAAAATAGCAAGATTTTTGCTGCTACGAGTAATAACTCAATTATGCATAAACACGTATAAACATACATGACGAAGGACATAATGCTGTATTAGGAGTAACATTAACATATGGTTAACTCTGTGAGGTTAGTCTTGATTAAAAATACACAGATAGTAGTTTTGATGACATTGTTGACACTGATATGGTTTTATCATTCTATATTCGTTAAAACACGTTGCTGACGTTAGTCAACGAAATATTTAAACATTGCTTACAGTGAATAGGTTAAATTAAATATAGTTTTGGTGTGAACAAACTAAAAATGGAAAGTTTTTGTAAATTTTTTGCAACATGCAGTAAACAGACTTTCCGTATGTCTACTTTATATACAAACACAAAAATTCAAATGCACAAACTGGACAGAAGGCTTGAGTTTAGTTCCGTAATTAACGAAGCAGAAAAAGTGGTCGGGTATCCTGTGTCTTTTTTAAATATGAGAGTAATTTTAAATGACGAAATTGCTAACATTCTGTCGTACACCAAAAAATTAATAGAAATGAAACATCCACTTGCACAAACATTTTCGTAAGTACAGCGAATTATTTTGTGAGTGCTATCCTCGATATAATAAATGTTTTATTGTAGGAATCTCGTTTTTCAAAATGAACAGAAAACGTTTGGACTTATAGTTCTTCTTATGTCAAAAGTAGCTGGATTAAGTGGGAATTTTCCTGAGAGTGAATATGATCGTGGTACTGGTAACGTTAAGTCAACGTTAACTTGCTGGTTAATTGTTAATACATTCTCTTTGTAGATATTCTCCACAGTCAAAGAGTTATTGCTGAAGTAATAGAAATGATTAAAACTGGTCATTTAATGCACGCAAGTCTCTCAAACATTGACGCCTCTACCAAAAATGTACTCGAGATGAATTTTGGAAACAAAGTAGCCCTTTTCTATGGAGACTATTTACTGGGCATCAGTAACAGCGAACTTGCTCGTTTAAAAAACCAGCGAGTTCAAGGAATAATTTTATCAGCTTTAAGAGATTTGGCTGAATTCGAATTTTTTGGATTAAGAGATCCTCAAAATAATCCGATACCGTCTAAACCACTTCCTGAACAAAAAGATGTTAAAATTCCAGACGAATTTGGAGTAGAACCTCTAAAATTTGAAGATATTTTAGGCAACATGAAAGCAGAATGGACTTTGAGAAATATTTTGAGCAGTGGCAGTTTATTGGCAAAGTGTTGTCAAGGTAGTTTAATTTTGGCTAATCATGAATTTTTCGTACCTAAACTGGCCTATATTTTTGGTAGAAATTTAGCGTTAGCGTGGCAGGCTTCGTTAGAAAAAGTTCAAATTAAAGAGGAATCGTTTAGCTTAGTATCGGCACCAGTAATGTTACATTTACAACATGATCCTAGTTTGTACACAGAAATTGAAAAAGGGGTATCTGATCAGAAAAAAGTCAATTATGATTTAATACGAAAGGTTGTTATGAGTGGGCCAGCGTTAGATAAAACTGACCAGCTGAAAGAAGAGTTCTCAGACGCAGCTTTGAATGTATTAAATAATTTTTCAGACAGTGGATCTAAGACAGTGCTTGTCAATATAATTAAAGCTTTGTGATTTGTAATAAAAAGGCTTAAGTTACGACGTTTTAATTTAGAAAAGGGAGATTTTATAAATATTATCCATTCGCGATCCATTTGATAGTAGGTTTGGCAATGAAAATCTAATACAGATACAGAGTAATCAAATTGCCTCAATTTTTCTGGTTGGGTCTGTTTTAAAGATACGGCCAGAAAATGGGTCACAAACATAAACACCATGAAATTTTTTGTTTACGTGATTAAACAATGTACCATATGATCGAAAAAAGTCGCAATAGTTGCTTAACGGAAAACTGATTTGTAGCTCCAATATGAACGTCGGCTGTGGAAATTGTTAGTATTAAAATGCTCCCAATATATTTTTAAATAATCTTTTCTTTTATAAACTTATAGAAATATAACTATATAATGTAAGTATTTTTTTTAAATTAGAGATTTATTGGGCTTTTGAAAACAATACTTTACAAATTAAATGACACTAAATCATTTTTGAAGTAATAAGATAATATTTAGTTATTTGCTTTAATAACTTTTACTACAATTAGAGCTTTTGAAGAAAGATGAAATCTACTTACATTGTATGCACTACAAGCAACAAACATTCATTCGAAATATTTGCGTTATTCATGTGTACACGAAGAAAGTATTGCGTTTTATATCCTAGAGTTAGCCATTTGTAAGCTAATGACCCCAACTGGAGGTTCAAATTTATGCTGGCTTTGGCGGTTAACCTCCTTACCTACTCCGATCTGGGCTCTGCTGATGCGATTGCGTCATACCGATTGCTGTTGATCATAGAACATTTTTTTGTGATTTCATTTTAGCAAGACGTTTAGGGTTAGCTATCGCACTTACGTTTACACTGGTTTACACAGAACGACAAAAACCGTCCACGTTTTGTAATACCTGGGCCCCGAAAAAGACGATTGGTGGTATTCTAGACAACTTAAAAGAGGCAAATACACCATGTCGAAAATTATAAAGTAAACTACAACTGACAGAACTCTCATGTGGTGGAAAACAGCAATCTGATTCCTAAATAACCTAATTCCTGTCACCTATTCTTCTTTAAACGATTGAGAGGCACACCGCAAAGAGGAGAATGCTGACAATTAGTGGAATAAGGGGAGTTGGCAAAGCACATCAGTTACCTGGAACTACCACGCAATGGGCAGTAGTTTGAGCTACACTCTTTATGCTTAGATACTGCATATAACCCCCCCAAAGACAATGTGATGCAGATTGTGAATCATGGCACTGATATAGAATGGTGCCTCGATGACCCAGTTTATTAATACTTCGATGGTTCGGTAACATTACCATAGATTTATTTGCATCTCGATTAAACCACAAATGTCACCAGTGTGTTCCTGCAGCCCTATTGGCTTTTACGTGTTTCTAATATTTGACCTCATGTTATGCACCAAAACAAAAGCAGATGGGCGCTTCAGCTGCTCTCAGTCACCCTTCCTCGGGTGGCAGGGAAATTATCTGGAAAGCTTACGTTTAAAGAAGATTTTACCATCAGCGCCTATTTCTCTAGGTCTGACAATTTCTTTCAGCACCTTGAGAGAATATAGTGTCACCACTGTCGCCTACAAACTCTACTGGTGAAATTATCACGAAAATAGTATTCCGGCTTACACCACACAAACTGAGCCTGTAATTAGGTTTTTAGCAAAATTATATCCAACATCAAATTTTGCAAACGGCGTCAAACCTATAGCTGGTTCACAATACCTTAAGCTAAAAATGTTTTACACTGGTTTATAATTAATCCTTGCGGGACACGTTCGCCTTCGGAGGAATAGTTCTAACACCCGGAAGATCGTAACTTCCATAAATATTGTTACGATCATCGGTGATTAAAAATCGACGTGGGTAAAACTCAACAATTTATTTCTTATTCACTCAAATTTACACGACTAACTGTACAGCGATTATGTAAATAATATTTTCCAGATTTGTTTTTATGTCCTTCATTTCTTCTCTGATTTCTTCTATTTCATTCTTGTTTGCTTCTACTTCTTTTTGGGACTTTTGAGTTAGGTTGGTGATTATGTCATCTATTTTTTCGTCCATCTTTTCCATCCTTGCGTCCATTTTTTTGTCCATCTCTTCTATTGTTGCATTCATTTTTTGGTTCATTTCTTCCATGGTTGCCCCCATTATTTCCATTCTTGCGTCCATTTTCTCGTCCATTTCTTTGTTTTTTGATTTCATTTTCTAGTTCAATTTTTCCATTTTCGCGTTGATTTGTTCGCCTCTTGCATCCATTTTTTCCATATTTGCATCCATTTTTTCCATATTTGCGTCCATTTTTTCGTCGATTTTTTTGTTCTTTGCGTCCATCTTTCCGTCCATTTTTTCCATTCTTGCGTTGATTTGTTCGCCACTTGCATCCATTTTTTTTATACTTGCGTCCATTTTTTCGTCGATTCCTTTTTTCATTTCTGCGAGCATAGCCATCATCTGCTCAATACCATTTATTAATCTCAAATCTCACTTCCGACACCAGTGTTACGTTGAACGGGTATTAGAATCGATGTGGGTTAAACTCTACAATGTTATGTCTTAATAACTCGAATTTATACGACGTATAACAGAGCGATTATGTACAAAATAATTCCGGCGCAACTTCACTGGGTTTTCTCGACACTCGTTGGACTCGAATAGTTCACTGAATAATCATCGTTTCCGAAGGTGGCCTTTATTTAAACCCTACTTCCTTTTAGATGTGGGGCGATCGGGATCTCTCTGGATTGCCGTTCGCGACTTCCGCTTCCAGACTTTTCTGTGGCGATCCGCCGCCGCTCTCTCGCTGTCATTGACGATGAGTCATAATCGGCGTACAGAGCAGAAAGCTCTCGACGATCATAGGCGTCGTATCGGGGCGGGGTAACGGTTTATTTCGTAACAGTATGTAAATAGAGTAAATAAGACTTTTTAAATTAACACAACTGTGGAAACATTTTATTATTTTTTGTATACAAAAAAACTTGCAGGTATGTTATTTGTCATTAATATTTCTAGAGTGTAAACTCTTGTTTGTTGAAAGCATTGCTACTGTAAGTTTTATTTTGACCGAATTACTTACGATACATCGAAAATTTTCTCACTATTCATTCACCTGCATGCACTGAGATTTCCTCTTTCCGCTCACTATTTATGGTTGTTTTGAAGAATTCTGTTACTCCATTTCGCTTAATGTTCTTTTTTAATATTCTCTCCCCCTTTACGATTTTGATGTCTTCTTTCTCTCCTGGGAGACATCCATTTCACAATCGCTTTGGGCAGTTGTTCGTTTTCCATTTTTTCCACATGAAAAGAATAAGAATTTATTAAGTACCACAAACACTGATGTGTTTATTGTTTCGTTCTTACTGATTTAGTTTAATATTTCTACAAAAAATATAATGACAAAATGACGAAGTACGTGAGTAATGGGTTTAAATACATAGTATTTTAGCTTAAAATTATCATTATATTGTTCCTAAGTCTTGTTTCGGAATTTAATGTGTTTAGAAGAAATATTGTTTGGAAAAACTGTAAAGTGATGACGCTGTTTCAGCTGTGTGGTTCAACGTGTGGGAACCGAACTTGTGTAAGAGCAGCTGATGTGACACTTTTCGCTAAGTTGAAAAAGTTGTCTAGCTAGTTTTTAAAAGTATGCGCAAAATATGTATTAATTGGCACTGCGTTAATTAAAACTGATTTATGTTTACAATCCACACTCTTTACATGAAGAAAAGTGTTTTGCTGAATTTTTCTTGTTTTGTTCTACTGCTGAAATACCAAATTATTCACGAGACTCAAGAACAATTTGATGTGCTCTTGAGTGCTAATGTTAGTAGTGTTACGGTAGGTAATACATGGAACTAAAAAACTGATTTTTGAAGTTTTTTTTTTATATTCAGGTTTTTTATAAAATCTAAAGAATATTCTGTAGAATTGTAAAACGACGTCATCATTTTCTGGGAGGCCATAAAGAATAAATTTTGATTATCGATTCCTAGAGCCTAAAAATGTTCGCAAGATCTTAGAGCATACGATTTTGCAATTTCAAAGTTAAATTGTAAAATCTATAATTTTGAATTAGTTCCCAAAAATCTGAATGTCTAGGGTGAAAACTCTACATGGATTCATAAACCATCTATGCAGGAGTACGTTATTTTATAACATTTAAATAAAATTTACTGATTAAATTTTAGCAAAATTTTTGGTTACGTTTTACCATCTATACGATATTCCTAAAGTTTGACAACAATCGGTCCAGTAGTTTCCGAGATTATCTGTGTAATAAAAATCCGGACAGACAAACAGACGTATAGACGGATGGACAGACGGACGGAAACGGGAAACCTATATTTTCTCGAGGGGTCATGCAACGTCGAGAAAACATAGAAGTAACCACTCGTCCAATGGACTTGATTACAATGCTTCCTTTGCTTACGCTCAGGTAGTAAATAATATTTTTGAATATTTATGAATGTTTTCATTTATTTTCAAAATAGCAAGATTTTTGCTGCTACGAGTAATATGTCATAAACATGTATAAACATACATGACGAAGGACATAATGCTGTATTAGGAGTAACATTAACATATGGTTAACTCTGTGAGGTTAGTCTTGATTTAAAAATACACAGATAGTAGTTTTGATGACATTGTTGACACTGATATGGTTTTATCATTCTATATTCGTTAAAACACGTTACTGACGTTAGTCAACGAAATATTTAAACTTTGCTTACAGTGAATAGGTTAAATTAAATATAGTTTTGGTGTGAGCGAACTAATAATGGAAAGTTTTTGTAAAATTTTTGCAGCATGCAGTAAACAGACTTTCCGTATGTCTACTTTATATACAAACACAAAAATTCAAATGCACAAAATGGACAGAAGGCTTGAGTTTAGTTCCGTAATTAACGAAGCAGAAAAAGTGGTCGGGTATCCTGTGTCTTTTTTAAATATGAGAGTAATTTTAAATGACGAAATTGCTAACATTCTGTCATACACCAAAAAATTAATAGAAATGAAACATCCACTTGTACAAACATTTTCGTAAGTACAGCGAAATATTTTGTGAGTGCTATCCTCGATATAATAAATGTTTTATTGTAGGAATCTCGTCTTTCAAAATGAACAGAAAACGTTTGGACTTATAGTTCTTCTTATGTCAAAAGTAGCTGGATTAAGTGGGAATTTTCCTGAGAGTGAATATGATCGTGCTACGGGTAACGTAAAGTCGAGCTTAACTTGTTGGTTAATTGTTAATACATTCTTTGTAGATATTCTCCACAGTCAAAGAGTTATTGCTGAAGTAGTAGAGATGATTAAAACTGGTCATTTAATGCACACAAGTCTGTCAAACATTGACGCCTCTACCAAAAATGTACTTGACATAAATTTTGGAAACAAATTAGCCCTTTTGTACGGTGACTATTTACTGGCTATCAGTAGCAGCGAACTTGCCCGTTTAAAAAACCACCATGTTCAAGAAATAATTTCATCAGCTTGCATGGATTTGGTTGAATCTGAATTTTTCGGTTTAAGAGATCTTCAAAATAATCCGATACCGTCTAAACCACTTCCTGAACAAAAACATATTAAAATTCCACACGAATTTGGAGTAGAATCTCTAAAATTTGAAGATGTTTTAGGTAACATGAAAGCAGAATGGACTTTGAGAAATATTTTAGGTAGTGGAAGTTTATTGGCAAAGTGTTGTCAGTGTAGTTTAATTTTGGCTGATCATGAAGTTTTTGTACCTAAACTGGCTTATATTTTTGGTAGAAACTTAGCTTTAGCGTGGCAGGCTTCATCAGAAAAAGTTCAAATTAAAGAGGAAACATTTAACTTAGTATCGGCACCAGTAATGTTACATTTACAACATGATCCTAGTTTGTACATAGAAATTGAAAAAGGATTATCTGATCAGAAAAAAGTCAATTATGATTTAATACGAAAGGTTGTTATGAGTGGGCCAGGGTTAGATAAAACTGACCAGCTGAAGAGAGAATTCTCAGATGCAGCTTTGAATGTTTTAGATAATTTTTCAGATAGTGGTTCTAAAACTGTGCTTATTAATATAATGAAAGCTTTGTGATGATAGAAATGCATAACATAAGACACTTTAATTTAGAAAAGGGAGATTCTATAAATACACTGCCCCGTAAAATTAACGCAAAATTTTAAAATTTTATTTTGCACATGGGGTTTCAAAAATTTATGGCCTGCCCGAAGACCGGTCCTCAATCCCATCGAGCATTTATGGGACATAGTGGGAAAAGAAATTAAAGCATTACAGCACCCTCCTACTGCCCTCCCAGGGCTAACACTTAGATTGATGCAAGAGTGGCAAGAAATTGATCAAGAAGAAGTTAGAAATTTGATTAACAGTATGCCACGAAGAATGCGAGCTGTTATCAATGCTCGAGGAGGCGATACACGTTCACGTTATTAATTCTAACTGAGCGACGTTTAAAGCATTATCAAATAAGATGTTATTTTTGGGTTTCTTGCAATTTGGTTCCAAATCATTATTAGTTTGTTGTTTTTGTCGATTTTTGTTCTAGAATTTCTATATTTGATTTAATAATTACGGATTAGGGACCAAAGTGGAAAAAAAACAAGATTATCTAAAAAAAAATACATATAATTTTAAAAATTTTGCGTTAATTTTGCGGGGCGGGGTATTATCCATTCTAGAACAAAATTTAGATTAGTCAAATTGCCGTTGACACAATGAAAATATAATTATAACCAAGCTTCGGTAGACTGGAAGTGATGCGTCATTAGTACCTACTGCCAGCGCTATTACAATCGTGGCCACGTTTTCTGTTACAATTTCGAGCATTCGTAGTGACAATGACTATTTACTCCAGGTTCTCCTCAGTTAGACTAGTTCTGCTAGATGTTAAAATGCTTTAAAAATTAACAATGACTAGTCAAGATCACAATTTTCGTGATGATTCTGTTTAGTTAACCGTGATTTGCATCATACGCCACTGAGATTGTGACGTGGTTGAGACTGCACAGTCGTCCAGCCAAATTTATCGCCTGGTGTTGCGCCGGGGTACTTATTATTTGTCTGGCAGATTCCTCAGTAGTCGTCATCACTTCCAGTCTACCTAAGCTTGATTATGACTTAATTGTTATTTTACCACTACTAATCAAGTTTAAGTAGAAATTACTTTAAATACTAAATTAGTGTTTTATATAATGTTACCAATATACAACTTTTAAATAATTTTTCCTTTTATAAACTCATAGAAATAAAATTATCTAACGTATTGCAATTACTTGCTGTAATAACTTTTATCACACTTCAATTTGCTGAAGAAATGTGAGGCCTACATTATATGCAACAAACATTCATTAGAAATATTTGTGTTATTTATGTGTACACGAAGAGCGTATCATATTTTGTTACTATGGTTAGTCACTTGAGAGCTAATGGTTCCGACTGGAGGTTCAAGTCCACCTTTGCATTGACGGTTTACCTCCTCTCTTACTCCGGCCCGGGTTCTGCTGATGCGATCGATTCATACCGATTGTTCCTAAACATCGAACAATTTTTTGCAATTATATTTTAACAAGACCTTAGAGTTATAACTGTCCAGAGCAAACTTTAGAATTAGCGATCGCACTTACATGGAACGACAAAAACCGTCCACGTTTTTAAATCCCTGGGCTTTATACTAAATTACAAAGTTTCTCCCATCGGATAATGTTCAAAAATCAACATTTGGACCGCTTTACTAAGTCGTCGTCTGCGTCGTGTCGATTACCTTGCACAATATATACTCATAAATATGCTTGCCTAGCAAAATTTGGTTGGTGGTATTCTAGACAAGTTAAAAGAGCCAAAAGCACCATGCCTAAAACTATTAAGCAAACTTACAATTGACGGCTGTTCTTCTCACGATCTTCATGTGGTGTAAAACAGTAATCTGTATCTTAAATAACTTAATTCATCGGGACGAATATCCTGACCTTTTTCTCCAATTCTTTTTTAAATGATTATGAGGCATACCGCAAAGAGGAGAATACTCACAGTTGATGAAATAAGGTGGGTTAACAAAGCACAACAGTTATCTGGAACTACCAGCCAATAGGCAGTAGTTTGAGCTACGCTCTTTATGCTTAGATGCTCGATATAGCCCCTCCAAAGACAATGTGATGCAGATTATGAATCATCATCATCATAATGTTAAGCACCATAAACAAAAGTAGATGGGCGCTTCAGAGACTCGCAGTCACCCTTCCTCGGGTGGCAGGGAAATTATAAATGCCAATTTTATTAGAAGTTATTAAGGTATTAACCTTTGAATGGCAAAACGGTAAACACCTTTATACCCATGTCAGGTTGTGTATTTCTCTGGAAAGTTAATGACGCAGCAACAGAGAACTGATAGAGTGGTATCAGAAGAAGGGAAAATGAAAATTTTTAAACCGAGTGGCGTAGACTAGCACAGAGGGCGTACTACTGTTATCTTAAACCAAGTGATATTTTTGGACTGGGCGTCTATTTGTAGTTGGCATCGAACTCCATAGGTAAATTCGTTTGTTTTGACAAATATAGTCCTTAAAATAGTAGAGTGTTCATGTTAGTAATCTTGCAGTCAGTATGTGTAGGGTCATGTTCCATGTTAACAACATTTTACCGATATTGCATGGGTGCAAAGGAATGGTTCTTGACTCGGTTTTTGATTTTAAGTTATTATGTTGTAATTTTCAGGTTTTAAAATAAAACATTATGGTGAAGTTTTGCTGATAAGCGTATTTAATTAATTTTGCATGCAGGCCATACGGCTTTACCTACATTTGATAAAATACGTTATCTGCGTTAGTCGACGCAACAGTAAACATTGCTTACAGGGAATATGTTAATTTAAATACAATTTTGTTGTTAACAGAATAAAAATGAAGAGTTTTTGTAAATTTGTTGAGACATGCGGTAAGCAGCCTTTTCGCATAACCACTCTAAATCCAAACACAAAAATTAGAGCGTACACGATGGAGCGAAGGCTTGAGTTCAGTTCCGCAATTAAAGAAGCAGAAAAGTCGTCGGATATTCTGCGTCTTTTTAAATCAGAGAGTAATTTTAAATGACGAAATTGCTAATATTCTACCGTACACCAGAATTAATAGAAACCAAACATCCACTTTTACAAACACTTTCGTAAGAATAGTGAATTGTTTTGTGGGTGCTATCCTCGATACATATTTTTTTGTTATAGAAAGCTCGTTTTTCAAAATGAACAGAAAACGTTGGGATTTATAATTCTCCTTTTTTCAAAAGTAGCTGGAGTAAGTGGGGACTTCCTGAAAGTGAATATGATCGTGTTACTGGTAAGTTGTCGATTTTAGTTTGATTATTGACGTTGGTTAATTGCTAATACATTCTTTGTAGAGGTCCTCCACTGTCAAAGAGTTACTGCGGAAATAACAAAAATGGTTAAAATTGGTTATTTAATGCACACAGGTCTCACAAACATTGACTCCTCTACTAAAAATGTACTCGAGAAAAATTTTGTAAACAAATTAGCCCTTTTGTACGGAGACTATTTACTGCCCATCAGTAGCAGCGAAATTGCTCGTTTAAAAAACCACCATGTTCAAGAAATAATTTTCTCAGCTATAAGAGATTTGGCTGAATCTGGATTTTTTGGGTTAGGAGATCCTCAAAATAATCCGATACCGTATAAACCACTTCCTGAACAAAATGATGTTAAAATTCCATACGAATTTGGAATAGAACCTCTAAAATTTGAAGGTATTTTAGGTAACATGAAAGCAGAAAGGACTTTGAGAAATATTTTGAGCAGTGGCAGTTTATTGGCAAAATGTTGTCAGAGTAGTTTAATTTTGGCTAATCATGAATTTTTCGTACCTAAACTGGCCTATATTTTTGGTAGAAATTTAGCGTTAGCCTGGCAGACTTCATTAGAAAAAGTTCAAATTAAAGAGGAAAGGTTTAGCTTAGTATCGGCACCAGTAATGTTACATTTACAACATGATCCTAGTTTGTACACAGAAATTGAAAAAGGATGATCTTATCAGAACAAAGCCAATTATAATTTAATACGAAAGGCTGTTATGAGTGGGGAAGGTTTACACAAACCTGATCAGTTGAAGAAAGATTTCTCAAACGCAGCTTTGAAAGTATTAAATAACTTTTCAGACAGTGGTTCTAAAACAGTGCTTATAAATATAATTAAATCTTTGTGATTTATGATACGACGTTTTAATTTAGAAAAGGGAAATTATTTAAGTACGTATTATCCAATCGCAATCTTTTCAAACTAGGATTAGGCCATGAAAATTTAGTAAGTTTGTTAGTAGTCTGTAGAGAATAATCAAAGTTCCAACAACTTTTTCTTATTGGGTTATATTGTTTTAAAGCTAATTTAAGTCTAGGAAATAGGCCTGAAATATCACTAATGGCAATAAAATGAAATTATTTGTTTACTTAATAATTAAAAACAGCACTTTATGATTAAACACAAGTTTTATAGTAGACCATGAAATTTATTTTTTAAAGAATGAATGTTGTTTGAATGTAATTGTCAAACCGAAAAAGAAACCCTTTGCTGTTGCTTTATAGATTACTACAAATTTTTTTTTGAGCATGTGCTATTTGATACATGAGGGACTATATAATTGAAAATAAACTTCCTCTAGTGAACCATAGAATTAATTTTTACTTCCTGAGCGCAAGCTGAGACAGCCTCATATGCAGGGCTTTTATAATTGATTCTAAGAGCGTAGTTGGCCATGGATTTCGAAAATCCCGTTTCGCTGAAATGATGCTTCAGTATGACAGTTCTCACTTTTCATGAATGACATTTGTAACCTGTCATCCTGTCATTTCAAGTCGTCGTTTTTATTGTTTTAACGTTTTTGAAGTGTGAGTTACAGTAATTCTCGTTGATCCAAGCTCAAAACAACAAAATAGTCGTTTTCAAAATTCTTGATGGTTGCGTACGAAAATTTTGTTTTGTATCTAGGAAGCGAACACCGTGAAAATGGTTTATTCTGTTGAACAAGACATTTTCATTGTTATGTCTTGTTAGCACAATGGGACTTCGTAAACGAAAAGTGGGTATATTCTGTAACCGCTTGTAAGGAAGAATATCTGGCCAAATACCGTGATTTATTAATTCAAGAAACATCGTTAAAGACTCACATTAAAGATGTAATCAACAGATTTGTTCGAACTGGCAGTATCAACAAAGAGACATCTCGGGGAGTACGTTGAGTATCTGAGGAAGTTGTTGATAATTTGAGACGACTTAAGCAGAATCCGCAAACATCTTTGACAAAATTGCCTGTGCAGTCAGAAGTTTCTGTTGCAACATGAAATTAAACAATGGGCCTCGAACAAAATGGTTAACATTTTAAACATTTTAACGGCAATAAATCCGTTTTTTTATTGTAATGAATTCATTTTATTTTTAAAAAGATGTGAAATATTTAGCCAACCAATTATACAGATGCGTCCTTGGGTATTTAGTGCGGTTCACATCGAATAGGCGGCACGTTTACGACCTACTGCGACCCTATAATCATTTATAGAAACCCTGTACTTTAGCATGGATGGTTTCATCATTACTATTTAAAATGACGTCGGGTTGACAAATAATTCTTATTTGACTCGACAGCATTTCCTAGACTTACGTATCAATTTTTCACGGTTTATTGTTAGTTTATATTTACTTTGTTTGCCTGATAAAAATCAGTTCTTCTCAGAACAAAGAACGGCTTTTCCTGAGCAACACTCAATATTCATGGTGATGTTTAACTAACAGACAAAACTTAGCCACAAAGTTACGTGAGTTGCGTGAAGATTTTTAGGCGATTCGTATATTATAAGGTACATACACACAGACGTGGGTTTAACCACAATTCAATGTGGACAAAAATTTACAAATTCAATAAAAATAAGTCAAATACTTATCCATTCCCTTCCAAGATAACTGTACAGAATCATCACGCGTTTTACATTTTCATGTGTCAGACGATTGTGTTTTGCTCTTAAGGGTGACCTAAAGCAAATTTTTCCTTAGGAGGCAATAAAATTCAGTCTTTGACGGGCCACTGTATTTAAAGGACCGGTCGGCTTAGCACCCATCAGCTGGCTACACCAGCACTCACTGCACAATAATAAAACCGACCAGAACTGTTCAGAGATCTGTTTGCAAAAATGAATTAGAATAATTAAAATATTACTTTGCAAGTGCCTAATTATGCTGTTGGAGGCAAAGTAATAGCAATTCCTCAAAATTAAATACTTAATAATTCATATAAGTACCTATTATATTTATTGTTCTCAAAGTACGTCTTTCAGCAGCTATTCTATTACTGCTGTTCCCATTTAGGAATACATATTTTGAAAACACTACTATAATGCATTTTCGTTATTTTTTTTTCTTTCTCTCTCTCTTTCTGAGAGTACTATCAAATGTACACCGTTTAATATATCGATAAAGCCGAAGATTATCCACTACCTGAAGATAACTGCTTATTTCTTTGGGATATCATCAACCAAAAGTAAAGGTTATAAGTAAGTAACTATGAATCTTCACAGAAACGGTGGAATTTTCGTAGAGTTGACTTTCCAAATTTATACCTATCGTCATTTAGATGAGCTAAGCTGGTCTTTCTTGGAGAACGTTAAAGATGTTATTACTGCATGCTGCCTCATTATCATTGTAATAATTCGTATCCACCATGGTTCACCTGTAATATTATTAGAGAAATCAAGCGAAAATGGAGGCTATGGCATAAATATAAATTTCACAAAAACCAGCTAAATCTTCAGCATTTTAAAACTATTGAGACCGATCCAAGGAAATTTTGGGCTCATATTAGTTGTGTGAAAATGCGTTCTGGTGTTCCTTCTAAAATGATTTATATGAATAATAATATTTTGCGTAATCCCAAAGAGATTGTAAATCTTTTTATGGAACACTTTCGCTCCAGCTATTCGGATTATATGTTCATTGATGAATCCAGTCATAATTCTATCAATTTTATTTTTTTTACGGAATCCAACGTCTTTGAAACCTTGAACACTATCAGACCTAATCTGACTTGTGGCCATGTTAATATACCAGGTGTTTTATTCCTACATGACTGTGCCTCCGTGTTTTCTTATTTTTTTACCAGTTATATTTAATATTATTTTGAAAACTACATCTTTTCCAGGCGTCTGGAAAGTATTTGTGATCTCACTAATTTTTAAGAAAGGGGAGAGAAATTTAAGAGGGAATTACCGACCCATCTCATTGATTTGCAATTTTTCGAAAGTTTTTGAGATGACTCTTCATAAATTTCTCTCATTTAATGTGCGTAATTGGTTAACAAAAACCCAACATGCATTTGTAAGTGGTCGTTCTACTCTAACGAATCTGAGTTGTTTCACCTAATTCGTAGCCAATAGTTTTGACGCTGAACAGCAGGTAGACGTGATACAGACTGATTTTTCCAGGGCGTTTGACAAAGTCAACCACAGAATTCTACTGATAAGATTACGCAACTTTGGGTTTTCCGATTGCTTACTGAAATTATAATGGAATCTCACCTAACTGGTAGATACCAATGCGTGAAGTACTTCCAACATCAATCCAAAAAAATTTTGGTCCCGTCCGGCGTCCCGCAGGGATCTGTTTTAGGTCCCCTGCTTTTCATATCTATATCAACAATGATATTAAAAACATTAGTTCTCAGGTTTTAATTTACGCTGACGACCTAAAAATCCTTCGTCGTATTATTAATATTGAAGACTGTCAAATTCTTCAAGAATATATTCACACTTTTGAAAACTGGGTAAATCGAACATGTTATCTATAAATTTTGACAAATGCCACATTATTTCTCTAACAAATAATAGTTGTAAGCTTAGTTTCAATTACACTATCAACTTGAATATCTTATCAAGAGTGGATTCCTTCAGAGATCTTGGAATAATGTTTGATTCTACTCTCAACATATTAGTAATATAACTGCTGAAGCGTTTAAATCTCTTGGGTTTATCACCAGATCGTCCAGTTCTTTCAATAACATCACTATTTTTAATACGTTATATTGTGCTTCCGTAAGATCAAAACTTGAATACGCCAGTTCTGTATCCGTTCCTTCAGCTCAGTTTTGCATTCAGTCTATGGAAAAAAACTGGAGGCGTTTCTTAAGTTTATGGCATTCAAAATAGACGCTATTTATCCTCCTAGATGTCTACCCCAATCTCACCATTTAATCAGATTTGGGTATAACGACTTAAACACTAAACGTATCAGAGCTTCTCTATATTTCCTCAAAAAACTAATATATTATGACAAACTCTGATAGTGAAAAAAACACAAATCGAGCCAGTGATTAGTTTCTTACCAAAATTATATACAAGCGTCAAGCTTATAGTATAGCTGGTACAATACCTTAAGCCAGAAATGTTTTAGACTGGTTTATAACTAATAATTGTTGAGCTGTTCATGAGTGCAGTAACATCGTTGAGCGTTTCGCTTATATATTTATGCTAAACATCACAATGCCTATTAATTGTGCAAAGTGCAAAAAGTTTGTATCAGATAAAGAAGTGCAGTGTGATTTGTGTAAGTGTTTTTTACACTCTACATGCAGTGGATTATCAGCAACTGAATTACAATGTGTTAAACTCAAAGATCGGAGAATCAATTTTTACTGTGACACCTGTTCTGATATGAAATCCTGCTTGGCTAAGGTTAATGAGATGGAAACAACAATTAAACGTTTAGAGGATGAAATTATTAATCTGAAATCGCATATTTCTGATAAGGCGGAAAAAATTTCTACTAATGATAGTAATAACGAAGGTCTCGTTTATAATTCGATCGTCACGGAGATTTTGGATAGGCAACGTAGAGAGAATAATGTTATTTTTTTCAATATCAAGGAATCTAATAAAACAACATCGCAAGAGCAATCTCAGGACGATTTTGAGACTGTTAAAAATTATTTATCGCAAGTATCTACCGACATTGAAACTTCTTCTGTGAAATGTGTACGATTAGGGAAAT